CAAGATCACAGGTACACCTTGCTGATAAATGCCATGTAGCAAGAAATCCGGGTTCAGAATTTCCTGTTGACTATCAGTAATATTTGAAAGTATTTGAATTATCGTATGAACTAGAAATCCCAGAATTAATGCAATTGAATCAAGAATTACGACACAAACATGAACGGATGTATTGTATTTAGAATTCGATATCGAGCATTCAGCAAGTACAAAGGTATCATTAGTTCATTCAAACACTACACTGTCTCCAACCACCATCTTATCTCGACATAGACGTAGATATATTTCAGAGAACCAGACTCTGATAAAGGAGTCAAGATTCATTCTTCATTTACGTTTCAAAAAGTAAATTGTTTATATAGGAAATATATGACTTTTTCATTTAACCCCGCTAATTTTAGTTCCATACTTAACAACAATGTCGAAGCAAGATTAATTGATTGAATTCCAAATGTCAGTCTTTTAAGTATTATCGAACTAGTAATTTCAATCATAGTAAAACAGTAACTAGCAAAATGAACGTTATCTGTAACTACATGACCCGAATATACTTAAGAATTCATTTTATTGCCAACTGGATAGTCTCAATAAATCCCCTTCAACATATTCTGTGCTTTAAACTAGATCGTAGAGAGTCTAAAATAAAAATGGAAACTCAGTGTATTTCTATAATATACTTCAATCCAAAGGCTTCCACATCATTCCCCATTTTTTTACATCGGGGTAATTGGTGACAAATTGGATAAGTTTTCACCTATGCCACATCCCTATGAAATAAAACCTACATCTATTGGATTCTATTCATTCGCTTCACAATAAATTTCTGAAAACAACACCATTCAATATTTATTATTTCTGAGTTGTTTACTACATTTTCTTCACATTCTTTACAATATAATATTTCCTTTTTGTATTGTCATACTCACTTTCTAAGTATATAGTCACATTGGTTTAACTCAACTGCTTTTTCTCACTTCTAATATCTTTTCAAATACTAAATTTAGAATTTTTAGTAATAAGAACAAATGACTGTTCAGCAAGAAAGTATACTGTTTATAGTTACGTTCTTATCATTTTACACTTGTAACTACGTGTTGTAGATGGGTTTTTTTTTAGAAAACATCTTGTATATAATAATGTTTCTGTAGAATAGTGAAATATAAAAATAAGCTTAGTGCTTAGCGATAAATTGAATGATTTCACACACTAATTCTCACTGGTGCTTCATTTATCACTAATCAATGATTAGAACAATTTTCTAACAGTAATAAAATTACTTAATTGTTTGTAGTACAGAGACTTATTTTTGGAAACAAAAGAATAAAGAATCATATGACTCACAGGAGATATTTACTAGGTTTCATAATCTCAAATATTTGATGATGTAATGTGCATTACATTCAGCATAGTGATAATAATAATAGCTTGTATTAGTACCATAAATTAAGTTAAAGCAAAGAGTTGTTAACAGTTAATGTACAACATTATAACAGATATCTCGTTGGCATTAATTCGAATAGTTTATCTCTTCTATACGCATTCAGTCATCAAAGTTTCCTACCAATTCTCCCTCGAACATAAATAAGGTACTTGAATTTCAATATATTTTCAATACAAGGTGTTTTGGAGATCATATAATTCTAATTACGTTTTAATCCTGAGATGATTTTAACTGAACCATCACTCAAACCCTTAAAGCACTGGATAGCCGTCTTACTCTAGTGTGCATCCAAACACTCACTCTCTGGAATCGGACTAAGAACCGTCGATCTTGTAAGCAAACGTCTGGCTAGTAGACGTTTGAACCGGTATACAAACGGTTTTCAAAATTATGGTAATTCTGTAATCTCTACAGAACCTTTGACTGATAGTGGTCATTTTCCCGACAGTGACTAGCTTCGAGATGTAATTCTTAGAGTTCTAGTAAGAAGCAGTGATCAATGGAGTTCAACAATACTGGACGCGAGACAGTTATCCACCACAGACGATTTATTGAGAGTTGAACAATATCGCGAAATGATTAGACATGTACATTATTGGACTGCTGCTCAGTGGTATAGAGTTTAAGCATTTGCGCGAAATGTTGTATGTCCAAAGTTAGTTTCCTGGATGTGGAATAGCAAGTGAGCACTGCTGAGGAGGCCAAAATAACTGTCTAGTGCTTTCAGGTTCTAAAGTTGTCTGGTGGTTTTAAAACAAAATTAGGGACAAATCGCTAGTATATTTCTCATTATATTTCCACTTTCTATCGATAAACTTCGATTCAGTAATAATGAATATCACAATTTGTTTATCATAACAGAAGTTTGATTAAAATATTATATATATATATATATATATATATATATATATATATATATATATATATATATATATATATAATCAACCGTAGAAAACGTTGACATAATAAGATTAGAAAAAGTGAAGAACTGAATAAACTAATAAATAATTGTCAGGCGTTCTGTGAAGATTTTAGAAATTTCAATAGTTGACATCATGAGTAAATTGAAGCTAGGCCACCATAGAAAACTTGGAAGCACTGGACAGAGGTTTCGTCCTAGTATGGGATTTCATAGCACTGAGTATCCACGACCTCGCCATCCGCGAGATCCGAACTCAGGACATATCAGTCTCACGTAGACACGCACTGCTGAGGAGTCCCATACTAGGACGAAATGGCCGTCCAGTGCTTCCAAGTTTTCTATGGTGATCTAACATCAATTAACTCACGATTTCAACTATTGAAATTATTAAGTAATGTCACGGAAAAATTGATTTCAAATTATGAACAGAATAATTGAACTTCATTTACCTCCTTATTTTTTTAAAAATTAACTCTATTAATTTTAATGATGTCACCTTTCAGTAATAGTAAAAAAGGAAGTGAAAGTTATTCATTTCACTTATCTAAGTAAATCTCGGAAATTCATTTCCTGTTAACTTGAACGACGTTCTGAATCTAATTTCGAGAAAGTGAATGTCACACTTGATATTGGTTTTCCTTTTCCCCCACCTCACACAGAAAACGTAAGATCGATTGACAAAACCATCATAACAATCATAACAAAAAATCAAGGTTAGGTGGAAATATCTGAATGGAGGTTAATGATCCAGAAAGATGACATGAATTCATTTTTGCATTGGTTGTTTGGATATTCTCATTGATGACACTACGGATGAACGTTCAACAAACAACTGAAAGGAACTCCACTGACCATGAGAAATCGTTTGATAATCTGAACAGGAGAACCTTACCGAACTTTACTCGACACTGAAGTGGATAAATTAAAAGATCACCACTATCATACGGGATTCATTCGACGGATTACACTGCAAAGTCATATATGAAGGACAGCTGGTAGACGTATATGAATTGAGGACCAGAATCAGACAAGTCTGATTACTCTCTATTTCTCTTTCTTCTGTTTGTCGACTGGATTATGAAGACCTTGACATCTAAGGGGATACACGAAATACAATGAACAGTTTGAATGAGGCTAGGCGATTTGGATGGCACAAGTGGCCGGGCTCTTCTATCCCATACACATCAACAACTGCAGGTCAAGACAACCAGTGTAGGAGAAGCCTCTGTATCAGTAGGCCTTAATATACACAAGGGAAAAACAAACATCCTGAAATGCGATGCAGTGAACACCAATCCAACCACGCTTGAAATAGAGCTTTTGAGGAGGTGGGAACGTTCACCTATTTGTGCATTATCATCGATGAACGTTGAGGATCTGAAGCAGATAAGAAGTCAAGGATCGGTAAGGCAAGGACAGCATTCCTACAGTTGATAAATATATGGAACTGTAAACAACTGTCAACCAAAATCGAACTTCTTGATGGTTCTACTTTATGGAGCTGAAACTTGGAGAACTACTACAGCCGTCATTAAAAAGATATTGGTATTTAGAAACATTTGTGTACGTACTGAATGTCCGTTGACTCGATATTATCAGTAGCAACACACTATGGAAGAGAACAAACTAACTTCCATATGAGGAAGACAGTTAAAATATTTTTATTTGTTGCTTTCTCAGATATTTCAGAACAAAATAATCACAGATCTAAGAATATATATTTGATAAATTTTGGCTGTTAAAAAAAGGCTTCATTCTTACGTTTTTTATCAAAAGATATACAATATTAATCAATATTTTTAACATTCCTTTAAAAGAAAATTATCAGTGAAAATATGGAAGAACTTGTTTAAATATGCTACTCCATAAGATAAATTTTCATAGAGTGGTTTTGTGGAGATTGTAGTAACTTGATAATTGAATTCATGAATCACTTGAGGCCCGAACACCATGGAAAACCTGGAAGCACTAGACGGCTGTTTCATCCTAGTATAGGACTCCTCAACAGTGAGCATTCACTATCCCACCCTCGAGATTCAAATCCAGGACCTGAGCTGGCCGGCATCCAACGGTGTTAATGTATAGCTTCAACTAATCCATTAAATTGTGCCACCGTCCACTATTTTCTTTTAACAAATATCTCATTGATTTTACAAATAAATGAATCAAAGATTAAGTAACTCGACAACAAACATAAAGTTTTGTAAATATGTGTAACCACTATTATTAAGGTGTTACCACAAGTATGATAAATATATTTTTAAACGTTATTTGTCCAGTACAAGTACTTTCGATTCAACAAACGAACTTGTTGATAGACTATAATTTTAATACTATCTTGATAATTTGAAACCATTTCATATCAGTCTTAAGGACTTTACTATCGTGTTAACCAGCTTCAGATTGGATTCTTTTCAACACAAAGTTTATTATTGACATTCCATTTTACGGATCTTTGATAAGAGTTCGTCGATTACAGAACAGTATATTAAAATATTTTGACACTCCTATTATCTATTTGTTTTGACATGAATCTATAATTTGGTAAACTAGATTCTTGTATTTGAACAAATCATGTGTACTATAAGTATAAAACGGTAAATTCTTTTTACATTATTCACGTGGTTATAAATTACAATACGATAAAATGATAGATATCATCCCATCTACATATTACACATTTTATTGACAAGACGAAACCCATGATGAGTTTTGTTGAAGTGCATAAAATACACATAAGTGTGATCTACATTGATTAATTCTTTTTCTATACATTTGAAAGCGTTGATTCATAAACCATTTTGATTGAGCACATTTGTTAGTTAGTGAAATATACAAGAAAACATGAAGAGTCAGATATCAACTTCAACTTCGTCTACAATTATTTACAAGCTCTCATTACTAAATCAATGTAATTTCTAACCAGTAATCTTGATATGACTCGAAATGGACACTATCATTATATCTTTGGTTTGAATTTAAATGCCCTACATTTTTCCAACCATATTGTGATGTAAGAAAGCTCAATAGAATGAAAAATTGTATGACCTTTCTGTAAGGAATTAATCTGGTCACTTGGCTCCGGGAAAATCTAAAAATATTTGTCACATTATCAAGAGTGTAAAGTAGAAAGAATGTATGATCTTAATAGTTTTTAGTTATTCCTTCAGTTTATCAAAAGGACAAAAGTTTTGAATATATATGCCTGACAAGAGATAAGTAGTTCTTATTTTGTTATTTTTATTCATATAAAATAAATGTTTAACTTGTTTAAGTATCTATATCTTAGCTATCATCAGTGCTTTAAGATTAATAGCATTCAGCAATTGATAAACGTTAGGCCCTCAATTATCATCATTTTTAGGTAGTTAAATCTACAAGGAACTTTAAATCCCAGTATTAATTGTCTTGAAAGATATCATCAATAAATATTCACCCTTATGACTGATATGAATAAGCGTGAATCAATATCCTAAAATGAGCATAAGTTATTTATACACAAATTACAGTCCTAAAAATAATTATAAGGTATAGATAATTGAAGAAATGATTTCTAAGATTCTGTTGTTATCATAGGGAAATGTCCATTTAAAACAATTGGAAATTCGTTTTATCATTCATTCTTTCTGATCACTATTTTTTAATATTCCATTTACAAGTTGTATATTAAATTATACTCTGAAAATAGTCTTAAGTTATCGGTCATATATGTGCTTTGTTCATGATAAATGATTTCGGTAAATAAATAAATACTCAAACGCACTGGTTTTCATAGCTGTACATTTATGCTTATACGAATATATGTTAAGAATGACTCTTAGTTCATGGGATAAAGTTATAAGAGTGATAAAAAATACTTTACGAAGGTTTCCCGATAAAAGATTATCTAATGTAATAGCAGAACGAAAGATAAAACTTATTTACTTACTTACTTACGTCTGTTACTCCCCGTGGAGGAGCACAGGCCGCCCACCAGCACTCTCCACCCAACCTTGTCCTCGGCAATCCTTTCCAGTTCTTTCCAGTTGTTAATCATCCTTTTCATATCTGATTAAATTTTTCGACGTAATGTGTTCTTTGGCCTTCCTCTTCTCCGCTTAAATTCAGGATTCCAAGTTAGGGCTTGCCTCGCTATGCAGTTTGATGATTTGCGTAATATATACGAAAGATACGAGCACACCAAAAAGGACCGGATCATAGTTTCATTATAGGATAAATATCTAAAAGCAAATGGATATCTGTAGTTGCACGCTATAATTAATATCAATGTAATCCAAGACATGCTTTTATCCTATCTGGTACTCATCAGATGGATATATTCAAACAACTAATATACATATAAAAAGTAACAATTGTTGATAATCGATGTACATACTTTATGTCATATCAGTGATGATTAGTAGAATAGCAACGACAAGTATAAAAGTATTAGAAAGCAATAAAGTGGATGAATGTTTACGTTATTATATGTGAAAATTTTAGAAGAATATTTTTAAAACACATGGAGACAAGTTTGTATAAGAAAAGTATTGATGTTAATTTGTTAATCAGCCCACAATCAAATATATGGCTACGCTGATATATTTTATAACGGATGATTAACATACACTAATGAAGTAACACTATTTAACTATTGAGTCATATAGAACCTTATATGATGGTATGTTCAAAAGTAAACTTCTTATGAGGCATTATTTGCTATACTTAAATTCTTCATTCATTATCCTATATTTCAGATTCATATGAGACGTAAAAAGCAGAATAGTGATGCAGAAACTGAGATGACTGGAGTTCCATCGAATTATAGTAAGTGGAATCTTTTCTACATATGTCTAAAGATTTTGTACAACAAAATGTTTGTTATATTTTGTCTTTTGAACAAATTAACTCAATGAAATATATGATAATCCCCAATTAACGGTATAGAATAAATGAAGATATGAAGAAAGCGTATATACAACTACAGAGGTTGATACCCACTAAGTTAATATTGTATTATTTTTTTTGTTCGGAGTGATTGACAATAGTCTCTGAACTCAAGTCATATCAATGAATATATTTTTTGTTCAATACAAATGAGTAGAAAAATAATGTTTCTGATGTGACTTACATTTAGTTACGAAACGCCAGAAATACGACTTTTTTACTCATCTGTATATATTACAAAAAAATATATGTATTATTAATTATCTACTCTGATGCTCAATTTATTTGAAACTATCAGGTTCAACCTTGGTATTATTACCTATAAACTCATTAAGTCTTATTAGTGGTAGAATTCATCATTAAGGCCGTGTATTTAATAATTTTCACACTATATGATGTCACAGTTAGTGTTGTCATCAGTAAGATATTTCAGCTGCTACTAAAACCAAACTGCTACACACCTAAACGTGAAACAAGTTAATTTATAAACAGAACACTGTACTGAACGTCAATTTTCATCAGACTGATAGTTGAAAATTATGGCTGCAAGTTAACATTATTATTATTATTATTATTATTATTGTTATTATTATTAATGGCTTTATTCAATATTATATTTTGGTACAATATAGAATTCTCAGAATAATTAATTACTGCAATGAATTATGCTTTAAACAATAATGTAAGGATAAATGTTTTTGTTTTGTTACAAGTATGAAATCATAAAAGCTGTAATCTTTATATCCTTATCTTACTTACGCCTGTTACTTCCAATGGAGCATAGGCCGCCGACCAGCATTCTCCAACCCACTCTGTCCTGGGCCTTCCTTTCTAGTTCCATCCAATTCCTGTTCATTTTTATTATGTCTATCTCCATTTCCAGGCGTAATGTGTTCTTTGGTCTTCTTCTTTTCCTTTGGTCTTCAAGATTCCGTGTGGGGGCTTGTCTTTTGATGTAGTTCGGTGCTTTCCTCAATGTATGTCCTATCCACCTACAGCACTTCTCCCTGATTTCTTCCTACACTGGAATCTGGTTTGTTCCCTCCCATAGTAGGTTGTTGCTGATAGTGTCTGGCCAACGGATCCGAAGTATTTTATGTAGACAACTGTTAATAAACACTTGCATCTTCTTGTTCTCCATGTTTCCACCCATACAGTAGAACTGTCTTGACATAAGTATTGAAAATTCTGACCTTGGTGTTGGTTGACAGTTGTTTTGAGTTCTGGATATTCTTCAGTTTTAAATATGCTGCTCTTGCTTTACCGATCCACGCCTTCACATCTGCATCAGATCCACCGTGTTCACCAATCATGCTGCCCAAATATGTAAAGGTTTGTACATCTTCCAAATCTTCTCCATCAATTGTGATTTAATTGGTGCATGCTGTTTTGTATTGGAGAATCTTACTTTTCCGTTTGTGTATATTGAGACCTACTGCTGCTGAGGCTGATGCTACACTGGCCGTCTTGTCCTTCATTTGTTGTTGCGTTTGGGATAAAGGGCCAGATCATCTGCGAAGTCTAGATCGTCCAACTGCATCCAAGCTGTCCCCTATATCTCACGCTCCCTCCAAGATGTTGACGTCTTCATGATCCAGTCGATGACTAGGAGAAAGAGAAAGTGTGAGAGTAAGCAACCTTGCCTGAGACCGGTCTTTACTTTGAACGAGTCTGTAACCTGTCACGATTTTGCTTTATATCCTTATCACCGTAACCTAAATCAGAGAATACTGAAGTTCTCACTATTATTTCATGACTGTTTTGAATAGATAACACTTTCATCAATGAACTATTTGTTTAAACACGATAATAATTAGACAGATATACTCTTATTAGGTACCTTATTTTTTTTATAGTTGATTGAACATTAGTTAACTTAATATTTACAAAACTGACAATCGAATTTAAAAATTATTACTTAACTTATATGTGATTTAGGTTTCCTGAATTTGACCTCAATTGATATTGTGAATGCGTAACTATGATACATTTTAAATAAAGCTTTTACAACTTTCGTATTCTTCTCTATTACAAATAGATTATTTCAACTACTTCTAATTCAAATATAGTAAATTTTATGAATCTGTAATTAATTTTTTTTCTATTTTGTTTTTCAACTTATAGTGGATATACTTAAACCAGCATTAACAGAGAAAAGACTGCAATTCAATTTACATATACCATGGTCAATTACTCCGAAAGGTTATGTAAAGGTAAGTTAAATTGAAAACAATTAATTGATCGGATAATTAAAATAATCCATAGTGTCATTGAATATGAAAAAGAGAATTCATCGAAGAAATTTTTCTTTTCGACGAAATCATTTACTTAAGCTGTACATTCGTATATATATATATATATATATATATATAGTTATATGGAAGATATATGTCTATAGGAGGATAGAAAAGATTGCATCACAAAAATGGATTCAAGATCAAATAATAATTGATCGGATCAAGAATTTGATATTTTTATTTAAATCCATAAATTTCATTGACGTGAACAAAATCAAAATAGAATATGATGATAATTCAAGTCAAATAAATAAATTATCTTAAGCCATTGATAATTAGGAAAATAATAAATAAATGTATTTAGAAATTTCACTAGTTAAAGTCATGAGTCAATTGAGGCTAGATCACCGTGGAAAACGGTAAGTTATTCAAACATTAACAACATACATAAAACATTGATTTATTTTAACAAAACATCTATGTTTACACTATCCTGACTTCAAATATGAAATATTTGTAAATCCATAACTTAAAAGCAGGGAGAGAAAGTTATCACAGATGATTGTTTATCCAATTTAGTAATTGCCTTCGAATATTTAATCACGATCCTTAAATCAACAAGAGATTATTATGACTGTACATTAAAATCAAGGCGATCCTCTCAGGAAGTATATATCCCAATTGAAACTAATCAACTGCAGTTTTGAATAATAAGAACGTAAAATCATCAACTCGTACTAATATTGGCCAGTAAATTATTTACTTTCAATGGTTTTCTGACTTAATTGCTGTTTATCTAAATCACAACTTTAAATGATATTACCATTTAATTTTCTAATGATTTAGCTGCATGAGAAATTAACATCACCATGCATCCCTCATTCTGATGGAAAAGCTGATTCCATGGCTGGTCGTGTGTACAGACAGATATTTCTCGATTGTGCAAACAGTTCGAATGGTTTTACTTCTTGTTCGAAAAGTGAAACAACTTACGCAAGTGTAAGTTATTTATAATTAATTTATTTCGTTTAAAAATGATTGTTTACCTAGCTGAAATTATTTACAGAAAAATATATATTCACTTCGGAGGCATAAACTTAGACGTTATTGTTGTCCTAATATCAACATACATCAATTTCATACACTTTCGACGGCATATCAATCAATGTTTATGCCAGGCCGTTTCATGTTGTATATACGTGTCTGTAGTCCATTATTTCAAGTCGGCCTTATGGTTTCTGAACAACTATTCTTGTTACATTAGTTATAATGCCGCATTGCACTACAATTATGAAGTTCGATTCAATCACATACATTACATACGCATAAGTATATATCAGTCACCAATATACGGAATAAAAATGAATCTTAGATCTACCTTAACTCACTTGATATGCCTAGACAGTATGGTACACCAGGTCACAAAACATGAATAATCCATATCACCTTGGTATCAGTAGGCTGTTTGAAAACTATGAGTGGAACAATTAGGTATATAACGAGTAAATCAAAAGAAACATGGGTTAACATTTCCTGACCTACACGCTCACTATACTTCAATGTTTAGTAGAAACAGATTATAACATACACTGGTGTATTTTAAGTTAATAAACGGGTATGAGATATGAGCTTCCAGATTGTGACGTTTACAACGTTTAATTTAAACTATCTAAAAATTCGTAAGCATCTCGATGAATAAATCATTTGGAAACATTCTTTTTTATCCTATATAGCCTACTGAGATGAGAAACACAAAAATTAGTCAGTATGAAATTATTTCAACCAAAATGATAGAAGCAAAACGACTTTATGAAGATCTTGATTTTCCCGCAAGTAATAATTCAATTGGAGACTTGCAACATATCTTGGGCAAAATAGAATGGAAAAGACCTAAAGTATGTTCCTGTTTAGCCATTTCTAACTATATATATATAACTAAATAAACTACAAATTGGATTATACCTATGTGAAAATCAATCTATATCGATCTCACCTAAGTGATCTATCTTCACTGAACTAATAACTAATGATAGTTTTAATTTCTTGGTAGGTTCGCAGTCTATCAAACATTCAGTAATCAGTCTACACATTCAATTGTTTCTCATAACTCTAAATCATCCTCTGTGTTCTATAGGCAGCTTCACGAGATTTGCTTTATACCCAGTGTTAAGACGTTATAAGTAGACAACGAATCATAAAGTGACAAGGCAGCGGAAGATATCAACTCTTTAAGACATATAGGAATGTTTTAATCAATAGAAATGGAAATGAACAAGCATTTTGTCATAAATTTTTATGTGTTCTAAGGGAGACGAGATAAATGTACCCTGAGTTTTATAAAGTTTGCACTACATTATATCTTTTATTTATTGGACAAACTACATGTTCCTTTTAGTTGATTACTGTAAGGAAAATATATTTTAGTTCTAAAGAACAAAAAACAATTAGGTTGTTTCCCATTCTTTACAATCATTAAAAGCCAAAAAGCTCCCATCCATTGAAATAAATGTTTAGACAAATGTGCACATAATTCAACCACTTTATTTATGGACTATTGAACGAACTCTGTACGATGTGAAGGACAACTCATCAAGATACTAAAGAAAGGAGATCTGAGCAAATGTGAGAAATACGGAGGCATAACAATACTGGCAGTATCAGAAAACGTTTTCAACAGTGTTGCTGAACCAGATGAAAGATTCAGCAGATGTCCAACTTCTAGATCAGAAGGTTGGATTCTGTAAGGATCGGTCGTGCACAGACCAAATCGCTACACTACGAATCATCGTCGAACAATCAATTGAGTGAAACTCGTCACTATACATCAACTTCATTGATTATTAAAAGGCGTTTGACAGTGTAGACAGGAGAACATTATGGAAACTTCTTCGAACCTCTGAAGTGAGTAAATGAAAAGGTTGTCGACATCTTCCGGAATTTTTACGACGAACTGCACTGCAAAGTCGTGTTTGGAGAAAAGCTGACAGACGCGTTTGATGGAACAACCGAAGATAAACAAAGTTTCTTACCCTCCCCCTTCCTCTTTCATCTGATGGTCAACTGGAGGATTATGAAGACCTGTTCATCTTAGAGGAAACACGGAATACAATGGACAGTTTGGATGCAACTAGACGATTTGGACTTCACAATTGACCTAGTTCTTCTATCCCATACATACGAACAAATGCAGGTCAAAACAGATAGTGTAGCGGTAGTCTCTACATTGGTAAACCTCAACATACACATCGAAAAAAGCAAGATCCTCAAATACAACACTGAGAGAACCAAATCAATCAAACCGAATGGAGAGTCTTTGGAAGATGTGAAAGCGTCCACTTATCTGGGTAGCGTCATCAATGAACGAGGAGGATCGGATACAGGTGTGAAGTCACTGATTAGCAAGGCAAGGACAGTATTCCTACAGTTGAAGAATATATGGAACTCAAGACAACTGTCAATCAATATTGAAATGAGAATCCTCAATATGAACGTGAAAACACTTTTACTGTGTTGAGCTGGAACATCGAGAACTACCTCAACCGTCATCGAAAATGTACAAGTATTTATAAACAGTTGTCTACACAAGATACTGAATGATCGTTGGTCTGATACTATCAGCAACAGCCTACTATAGGAGAGGAAAAACTACGTTCCAGATGCAGAGGAATAGGACATATTTTGTGAAAATCACCAAATTGCATCATGAAACAAGCTCCAACTTGCAGTCCTAGAGGAAGACGAAAAGGAGGAAGGCCGAAAAACACACCACGTTGGGGATCAGAAGCAGAAAAGGATGAATGGGAACTGGAAACAACTGGATAGGAGAGTGGAGGACAAAGGTGGATGGAGAGTGCTGGTGGGCGACCTATATTCCCCCACGAGAGGTGACAGGTGTAAGTAAGTCTGTATGATATGGAATTCACAATAAAATCTGTTAATACGCTTCTAATCAGTTAATTCAAAATTGTAAATATAAACTTCTTATATCTGATACCCAATAGCAGTCATTAAATTTACTTTATCAGGTTAACGATATCTACGATTGTTTCCTTCAAATGATCTAATTAATTTTTAATAAGATACGTAAATCACTAGCGTTATAGATTAATAAAACACCTCAGGAAGAAACTGTAATCTGATTCTACAGAAACATTGAATGTGAACTGGTTTGTTGAATTATATAGATAGTTTGAATTGAACCTGTGATGTAAACTTATCGTCATCAACTAATAACATAAATGTTAAGTTATTTTTGCAGTCATCCACTTTATATAAATGAGATGACAAATTTCATTTTAAACATTAAGGGTGTTTGTGCAATATATTAACTAAAATGCTGAGGATAAATTCTTTCATTACATTATTGTATATAAGAACAAACAAGGGTTAATTTAATGGGTAAATTGTGACAACTGCAAATAATAGAAGCAGAAAAAAGAAAGTATAACCCAATATGGTAGGAATAACTAATTACTACATCGCTCTTTCCATTATATTTATATAATCGATTATCAGAACAAATGTATAATGTGAGCAAATCCTTGATTGGTAACACATCACGATCAACAGACATATAAATCGGATTCAAACATTAGGAATACGAATTTTAGCTAAAGAATTTCTTTCCGACGTCTTCATTATCAAGCTATACAATCATATATATAATAGCAATAAAAGATCATGCGTGAAAATAAAAAGCCTAGAAAAATTACTTAGTTAACAACGGATTATAATCAAAATCGATACTTTCAGACCACCAAATCTCCTAAAAACCTCAGAAGGAAGTCTTGACAGTATTTGATGTAAAGATTAAAAGACATTTCTATGTTTAGTCTTATTAACACCATATTGAATTAAATAATCGGTTCATGATCTCAATTAAAACTCAAAAGCCTTCGAAACACTATACAAATAATTATCATGTGCTCACTAGTGACTAACTTCAAGAGATAATTTTCAGAGTCCTAGTGATAAGCGTTTGACCAGTGTCGAATGAGAGGCATTTACTCACTGAGGACAATGGAGGATGGTTGCGTGACATCGTAGACTGGCTGAACACCGTCGGATCCCGGTTCACTAATGTAGAGGTCAAGCGTTGGCGCGCGAGACTGAGTTTAAATCTCAAGTACGGGATCATGGATGCACAATGATGAGGGATCTCAAACTAAGACGAAACAGCTAACTGATGCTTTCAGGTTTTCAGTGTTGTTCTAACATTGATCGGTTAATGATCTTAATTATAATTCAACAGCCTCTACAGCCATATACCGTCGATTGATTACTCCGGTCACCCTTCGTGGAAGAACATAGGCCTTCCATCATCATTATTCATCCAACTCTGTCCTATGCAATCCATTACAGTAATTTCCAAGTGCTATTCATTCTCTTTATGTCTGTCTCAAAATCCTAGTTTGAGTTGTTCTTTGATCTGCCTATTTTCTCTTTGCCTTCAGGATTCCAAATTAAGATTTGCCTCGTTACTCAGTCTGGTGATTTCCACAATGTGTGTCCTATTCACCTTCGGTGTTTTACCAAGTCTCAGCTTCATCTAGAATTTAGTTTGCTCTTTCTTACAGTGGGTCATTGATTGTGGTACCGGGTCAACGGACATCGGGCATCTTGCGTAGACATTTGTTCACAAATACTTGGACTTATTGATTATGGCTGCAGTAGTTCCCCAAGTTTCAGTTCCATACAACAGAACTATCCCGACTTTTGCCTTGAAGGTTCTGGCTATAATGTTGGTCTATCGCTGTAAAAAACTGCTACCACATTGGCTGTCTTCACCTACATTTGTTTCGGTATATGGAATAGAAGAGCTAGGTCACGTGCGAAGTTCGAATCGCCTAGCTGCATCCAAGGAACATATGTTATTCCATGCTTTCCCTGAGATGTGCAGGTTTTCATAATTCAGTCGACCACCAGAAAAGAGAGGAAGGGTGAGAGTAAACAATCTTATCTGACACAGTTCTTCACTTGGGATGCTATCCTTCAAGCACAACTTTTCGGTGCAATCCTTCATATTATATCCACATGATAGCGGTAATATTCTCGAGTGTAAAGTGTTGTCGAAAAGGATTTCATATTATTTTGCTACTTAGACTGTCCACTGCCATCCCATATCCAAGGAAGTTTATGTATAGTGACGAGTTCCACTCAACTGATTGCGCAATGATGATCCCCAGTGTCGCCTTTAAGTCTGTGCACGGACTATCACTACGGAACCCAGCCTGTTGATATCGAAATTGGGCACCCACTGAGTCCCCCATCCGGTTCAACAACACTCTGTTGAAAACTTCTTGATACTGACAATAGTGTGATTCCTACGTGGATCTCATATTTGCCCAGATCTCCCTTCTTTGGTATCTTGATGAGGTATCCTTCCTTCAAATCTTTCGGCACTTATTTCTCCTACCAAATCTTCCTGAATAGAACGTGGAGGATGTTCGTAGCTACTTTCATATCTAACTTCATTGCTACAGCTGATATGTCGTCTGGTCCTGCTGCTCTCCCACAATTGCTTTGTCTGATGACCATTCTGATTTTTCCGATCGTTGGCAGGGTGAGATCTATAGGTAGGTCTGTGTGTACTGCCTTGCTGTCCAGTAGGTTGAGTGCGGTTGATCCCTACGGGAATTCCTCAGTGTTCTACCCACGTGTTCATCTGTCCTTGAATGTCAGTGATTAGCTTGTCTTCTTAGTCCTTGTTCGGTCTCTCTGGTTCACTAGATTTCCACACCAGTTTCTTCAATGTGTCATATAGGTGTTTCATATTTCCTTCTCTTACAGTTTTATCCTCTGTCCTCCATATATTTCTGCTCGCCAGCTCAAATGCTGCTATTCACTAACTTGTTTGCTCCAGTGTATTCAGATTGTGCCTTGAATCTCCCCGCTCTTGTTCGATTGTTGTTAATTGCTGTCTTCGTGTTCCTCCCTTCTTGAATCCTATCCTGTTTTTCGATAGAGATCCATTCCTTGTGATGATGCTTCTTGCGACCCAAAGTCTCCTGAGACTATGAAGTTGGTGCTGCAGTGATCCCTTTCCCTTTGCTCTCCATCGTGGTTTCTTCTTATTTCAGAAGATCCTGTAAATCTTGGAACCTGTTGTTGAGATTTATCTTGAATTCGTTGAGTTTGTCAGTATGTTGAAAGAAGTCTGTATTGAACTTTAGTAATGCTGTTTCTCCTGTTTTCCAGTGCTTATTGAGATTCAGTTTCATCTTGACAAATACCAGGTGGTGATCAGGAACTATGTCAGCCCCTCTCCTGGTTCTCATACCTTGCAATGATATTTGAATCTTCCATGAATTGAATTATGTTCGATCTTGTTCTGTGTAGTGTGATGCGATGAGACCCATGTAGGTTTGTGTATGCGTTGGTGTCACCTATAACCAGGTCGTTAGATGCACATAAATCTGCAAATCTCTAACCAGTTTCGTCCCTTTTTCCCAGTCAGTCCATGTCCTCCCATGATATCTTGACACCTGGCGTTGTTCATTTCGACTTTGGAGTTCAAGTCTCATATCAGGATGGTCAGGTCGTTTCCTGGACGCTTTACTACGATCGACTCAAAGCTCTCTTCACTGCTATCATTTATGGGTGCATAGAACTAGATAAAACTCATTTTATCAATGTAAATTTTATTTCGTTTGTTACATCGTAAGTTTTGTTGTTTTACATTTTAGGATATTAATCCTTATGCAGCTTTTTGTACAAAATCTTATTCTCGTTTTGATGTTGATCAAGGTGCTCTTGGTAAGATCATGTTTCCTGTTTACCTTTTTTACCTTGGAAATGTCAGTAAGTAATTGAATTAATGAATGCAATGACCATCAACTCAAGTGACATTCAGCCTTTTAAATAAAAACATCAGTTTCTTACACGCTTCAGACATTGCTTGTTAATCAGCTTTTACCAGATGAAACCTTTAAGAAAGTGTGGACAAATACTTGAAAAAATAATACTGAAACACGGAACAAACCAAATAATCTAAGACAAATACGTATTTGATAACTTAGAAACGCATGTCATAATTCGTTTGATATACTTTGTTCCACTTTTGGCTATCTGAATATCAAACAGGTCATGATGTTGTATTTAACCAACCCAACATCGAAGTAGCACACATGGACCTCCCAATCGATGTTAGCCCACCAACAATTGAAGAAATCAGAATGGCCATCAGACAAATCAAGAGCGGCAAAGCGGCAGGACCAGACAACATTCCAGCAAAGGCACTGGAAGCAGACGTAGTGGTAACTGCAAGGATACTCTACATTCTCCTTGATAAGATTTGGGATGAGGAACAAGTACCAAGAGACTGGAAAGAAGGAATTCTGGTCAAAATACCAAAGAGAGGCGATCTCAACAACTGTGATAACTACAGGGGCATCACTCTTCTCAATACTGGGAAGAGTCTTCAACAGGGTATTGTTTAAAAGAACAAGGGACTCCGTAGACGCCAAACTTCGAGATCAACATGCTGGATTCTGTAAGGATCGTGTAAAGACCAAATCGCAACTCCACGGATCACTGTGGAACAATCAATTGAATGGAATTCACTGCTCTATATCAACTTCACTGACTTTGAGAAAGCATTCGATGACGTAGACAAGACAGCACTAAGGAACTCTTATGATGTATTAAACTGCAAAATTGTGCACGGAGGACAGTTGACAAAGTCGTCCGAAGTAAAGGCCGATGTCAGGCGAGGTTGCTTACTCTCACACTTTCTCTTTATCCTAGTCATCGACTGGATCATGAAGACGTCAACATCTGGGGGGAAGCCCGGGATACGGTGGACATCTAGGATGCAGTTGGACGATCTAGACTTCGCAGATGATCCCGCCCTTCTATTGCACACGCAACAACAAATGCAGAAAAAGACGACCAGTCTGGCAGCAGCCTCAGCAGCAGTAGGTCTCAATATACACAAAGGGAAAAGTAAGATTCTCCAATACAAAACAGCGTGCACCAATTCAATCACAATTGATGGAGAAGATTTGGAAGATGTACAAACCTTTACATATTTGGGCAGCATGATTGATGAACACGGTGGATCTGATGCAGATGTGAAGGGGCGGATAGGTAAAGCAAGAGCAGCATATTTACAACTGAAGAATATCCAGAACTCAAAACAACTGTCAACCAACATCAAGGTCAGGATTTTCAATACAAATGTCAACACAGTTCTACTGTATGGGGCGAAAACTTGGAGAACTACGAAAGCCATCATCCATAAGATACAGGTGTTTATTAACAGTTGTCTACACAAAATACTTCGGATCCGTTGGCCGGACACTATTAGCAACAACCCATTGCGGGAGGGAACAAACCAGATCCCAGAGGAGTAAGAAATCATGAAGAAGTTCTGTAAGTGGATAGAACATACATTGAGGAAAGCACTCAACTGCATCACAAGACAAGCCCTTCCTGGAATCCTGAAGGCCGAAGGAAAAGAAGAAGACCAAAGAACACATTACGCCTGAAAATGGAGATAGACATGATAAAAATGAACAAGAATTGGACAGAACTGGAAAGGAAGGCCAAAAACAAACTGGCTTGGAGAATGCTGGTCAGTGGCTTATGCTCCATTGGAAGTAACAGGCGTAAGTAAGTAAGCATGATGTTGTATTTATCCAAGATAACAATGAATTTTTATTATGCAAGTGTTGAGTAGAGCCTAACTTGGTCAATTCTTTTTGATTATCTGTAAGGTGACTGTTGGTTCAGTGCGGTTATGGCTACAATTACGAAATATCCTGTATTGATGAATAACATCATACCATCAAATCAAACTTTCAGAGGTACACTTTATACAGGAGCATTTGTATTCAATTTTTGGCGTTTTGGAGAATGGGTGGAAGTTGTAATCGATGACCGTCTACCAGTTCTTAAGGGAACATGTAACTTAGTATTCATGCATTCAACAGATACAAATGAGTTTTGGTCATGCCTACTGGAAAAAGCATATGCCAAGTAAGTTCAAGGAATAATACTAATCTTATATTTGCATTTGAACTACTTATTAGTAGCATGAAATTATAAACAAATAATTCAAAATTATTTTTGATCGAAATCATTAATCATCTGAAGATAGACTACAATGGAAAACCTGAAAGCATTGGACGGACGTTTCGTCCTAGTATGAGACTCCTCAGCAGTGAGCATCCGCGATCCCGCACTCCGCGAGATTCAAACCCAGGACCTGTCAGCCTCCCGCCAGGCAATCAACCAACTATACCCCTGAGCCGGCATCCAATGGTGTTAATGTCTAACCTCAATCAATCCACGAAATTGCGCAACCATCTTCCATTGTACTGAGGAAGACACCTGTTTCTACCCGATACGAATTAGCTCCACTGGCCGCGGCTTCTCACGAAAACTCCGTCTCAGTTGTCTAGTTGGTTAAGCGCCTGGCGCGAGACTGATAGGTCCTGGGTTCGAATCTCGCGGGGTTCGGGATCGTGGATGCTCACTGCTGAGGAGTCCCATACTAGAAAAAAACAGACGTCCAATGCTTCCAGGTTTTCCATGGTGGTTTAGCTTCAAATGACTAATGGTTTCAATCAAAATGTTAACAATCTCCACAACCCCTAAACTGATAATTCAAAATTAACCTGAGAAAATCTCCATTACTGTTTCCTACAATCACTGTATACATAATCCTATAAACTGTTTCTATTAGCCTCGTTATAGTATCAAGGTGGCGGATTATCCTACACAATCCTAAAATGTTTACAACATCGTTTTCATGTTGAAATCAATTTTGATGTTTTTCAACTTCAAAATGATCACAAGTTATAGGCCAAATGTAAGATTGTCCAAGAAATCAGAGTTATGCATTTTGTATCTGTCCCCTTTGTGAAGAACAATATAAAATGGATGGCGTTAATTATCATTTTTTTATTTGTAATTTATGAATCACCTTCATTCTTAAATCTCAGTTTGTTACATATGATGAAGGGATTTATTAGCGAAATTAAGATATTTTCTGTAAATGATGGTCTGAAATATATTTAATAACGCATTTAACGTTCAGAATAATTAACAGATGAAGCATTTAACAAATAAATCTTGTCAGAAGGGGTTTTGTGAAGATTTTAGTAATTTCAGTAGTTGAAATCATGAGCCAAATGAGGCTAGACCACCATGGAAAATCTGGAAGCACTGGACGGCCGTTTCGCCCTAGTATGGGACTCCTCAGCAGTGCACATCCACGAACCCGCCCCCCCCGCGCGATTCGAACCCAGGACCTACTGGCTTCGCGCGCGATCACTTAACCATTAGACCACTGAGCCGGCATCCAATGGTGTTAATGTCTAACCTCAATCAACCCACGAAGTTGCGCCACCGTACACCATTGTCTTCAGTGAGTTCCTATCCCACAACAGACCTAGTTGAACTCCACTGGTAACGACTTCTCACTAGAACTCCAGGAGTGTCTCCTGAAGTCAGTCACTAGTGAGCAGGTGATTATTATTATCAGAATGGGTTTTGTGGAGATTTTTAGATATTTCACAAGTTGAAATCATGAGCCAATTGAAGCTAGACCACCATGGAAAACCTGGAAGCACTGGACGGCCGTTTCGTCCTAGTATGGGACTCCTTATTATTATTTATTTTATTCCATTTTGGTTATCATTAGTCTTATTTTCACATCTAGTATTTGTTTGTAATTTTCCGCCTCTTCCCGCTTGTATTCCTCACTATCTAATTATTTACACACTTATTACGTAATGAATTTTAATGTTTTGTGATGACTATTCCAAGTCGATTTACCCACGTTTGACCTTCTATTTCCAACATTTAACTAGTGATAAGAGTTTTGTTATTGTATTTTATTATTCTTACTATTATCAGTTGTACTTTTACCTATTATGCGTTGAGACTTATTCTATTTCATTGTGATTATTGACCCAAATTGCCTTGATTGGTTTAAAATTTTCGTATAAATATTCATGTATATTAGAGTAAAGCTTGATGACGATCTAATTGAAAATAACTGTTTGCTTATATGTATTGTTCTAATTTTCACAATGGGAATCTTTAATATACTGAAATATTAACCATTAGAAATTATTAAAAGTAATCAGACAATAAACAATGGTAATAATTTGTGTATCTTTTATTATACCTTATGAGGTTCAATGTCATCTACATATAACAGAAGTGATAACGATTCGCGCTGCAAATTATAAGAAATTTGCAGCACCTTGACCTGTCCTTTAGGTAAATTAAACTGAACAAATAATTTTACCCAGTATTATTTTCCACATAATTTTCTGTTTTTTTTTCAAGTTCCCTCTACCACTTATTTCAGATTGTGAAATATTCGATCTTTCTGTTCTTATAACAACTAGTACATCATTTTATATATCCTACATATTGTGTTTACCTGTGTAATATAATTGGACCTTTACCAAACTATATGATACAGATCAGCTTAATAAATTTTTAACAACCTGATCTGCTGGAATGATTAAAAGTTTAAAAATCGGTAGTTAAGATTAAAGTGGAAAACAGGGAGTAATAATAAATCACATTACTATGGATTTTATATTTAAATTTCCTTTTTGTAAAGTGAAAACAAAGATCATTATGTGTTAATGTGATGTACTTTGAATTCTCTACATTTGCGCTAATTTTATGGGTAAAACGTTTTACAATAGTGGTAATATGAAGAACATATGTTAGGTAATTCAGTTTATTGATGAGGAATAATTTAAATTGATTTCCACAATCATACAAGTTCATTTTATTCAAGAAATGAATAACTGCGATAGATTATATCGATTTTTACATATTTTCACAATTGAAATCACGAGCCGATCCAAGCCAGACCAATATGAGAAACCTGGAAGCACAGGATGATCGTTTAGTCCAAGTATGAGACTCCTCAGCAGTGCCCATTCACAATCAAGCCAAGGATATATATATATATATATAGTGATATCCAGATGGGTAGAAAATTGTATTTCTGACGTTTCGTTACTTAATATAAGCCACTTCTTCAGGGTATATATATATATATATATATATATATATATATATATATATATATATATATATATATATATATATATACCCTTACTTCAAAGTTAACCCACCTAATAAATTCATAGCTTATCCAACACTGACCACTTTGTCATAATACCCTTCTTCCTCAAATTTTCTATGTACATTTATACACAGTGGTGAGTTATCTCAATATCAACGATGGTTAACTTTAAGAATTAACTTTCTTAACTTGACGAACCGGCCACTGAGACTGCAGGACCTCCCTGATAATTTATTATGTTTCCACTTTCCACCAACCTCACTGAGTAAAAACTTGATGCGGTTGTACATCTTTATCGACTCTGGTGATTGAGATATGTATTATGTGTGTCAAACAACCGCCTCCCTCGATACACGATATCACATGTTGTTAGAGTAGGCTGAAAAAAAGCTAAAGGTGACCAAACCAAAATATGTCACCAACTCATGAAGTCATTAACAGTTGATCTGAGTCATGTTACTAGATTTATACTACATGGTTAGGGTCGGCGAAACAAACGCAATTAGTGGTTGGAGACGCTGGAAGAACTTTCAAAATCAGTCGCAATTGTGTAAATTTACTTATTCTTTATCATTCTCTAGAACATAATTTCCAGTATCGCTTCATAAATGCCCCTTTATTCCACTTTCTTAGTACATACTCTCAAACCTCAATCTTCTTTACCATTACTACTTTATTTCGACTATTTAGTTATTCGTTTCATTAAGTTCATTTCGTCGTGATCATTTGGTTTGTCATCTTGAGTTGACGTACTGCTTTTTCGGGCTTTAATTTGACGATAACTGGCGGACTGGCTAATATTTTCATTAATGTATGCGAAAGTGGATAAACATCTGCTTTTTATGTCAATAGAAAGTACCACTACAATATTGTGTTTAATGTGACTACTTACCATTCACATGAAATTTTATTTTGTTTGTGATTTATCCTTAAAATTTTCTAAGGTTTAGAACTTTTTTTCTCCCGTTCCTATACAGATTATGCGGTAGTTATGCACATCTAACTGGTGGATTTCAAAGTGAAGCAATGGAGGATTTTACTGGCGGAATATGTACTACTGTTATTTTGAATCAAAAGGAACGTCCACCAAACCTATTTAAAATGATGGAACACTACACAAAAACATGTTGTATTTTGGGTGCTGATGTTGGTGTTAGTTATTCTTTTGGGTAACTTAAGTCTGTAGCTGTCTTTTGACAACGGTTAGATGAATTCTTATACAAGTGTTTGCAAATTAGGTACCTGACACAATTTAAGTATATCTGCTAAATTATTCTTCACGGGAGTTTTGATAAAATCAATACCAAACCACAGTAATTTACTATTTTTCAATAACTTATGTTCTGGTCAAGAATCCCAGTAGTATATGAGAAACGAAACTTGAGATGCAAACGATTCAATATTGCCCTTGAGTTTTCTGAAAACCCAATCTTAGATGATTGGTTCTAGATATACAAAAAACAAGGACGCGTTATTCATCATTCAGTCAACGGCGAGTTAGTATTGGATCTCCTCGAAACCTATGTCGGATCGGACAGATCGGCGCTGAACCCGTTCTAGTATATCCTCGCCATTTTTTAAACATGAACCTATTATCTGGACTTCATATCCCAAATTACAACACGTATGAGTTGGGTAAAATATTCAGCAAATATATTCATCCAAGTGCCGAAAAGCTTCACAAATTACCTACAAGATCTGAAAGCCTGTGGCAACTGTACACCGTGGTTCTAAGATCATCACTTACTATTACTCCCAAATACTCAGAATCAATAAAATCAGGTGAAACGATTTCGTTTATTGTGTAGTTGTATGACTTGTCACAACTCCATTCGTGAAACAACACTTTGCTGGAATTCGCCTCTAGCGACTATCTATCCCCCCACTTATTCAGAGCATTTATACCTCTCTGTAATCCTCTGTGACTGCTATGAATGAGTGTCTACACTTTAGTTTCGCTCATAAATGACATTTTCACTCTCGATAGGTCATTTTCATAAAGAAAAAATGAAACGACTTATAATCGTCCCCTGAAGAACTCTACTCTTTACAGTTACGCATGTAATTGAAATAGTTAGAAATCCTATTCCTAACTCTACCGTTAATACCAAAACCGATCTTTGTTCTAAGGACCATTTCAGTGGTTGATTGATTCCTACAAAAAGTACATTCATCGGAATATTTTTTTTATCTTTTGCTACAATCTCCTCTTGTATTTGATTTATTTTAGGGAGATAAAAATAAAAGACGAGAAAAAATGGGACTGATAGGTTCTCATGCTTATAGTGTAACTGGGGTTGGGAAAGTAAGTTATCTTATAGTTAATCATCATAATAATTGTGATTGGAATGAATTAATCTTTATTTATTATGATTTATAATAATGTAAACTTTATCCGTAATCGAAGGAAGCCTTATTTTATGCGAACTGTATAACTAAAGCACAAAAATCTCTAGTCAGTCTAGTCCGTGTTAAAAGTAAATAAAACCAAAAAATTAAGCAACTACTGATACATAAACTGCTTAGTTAAGAGTTTAGTGAAACCCTTCATTTTGACGTCAATTAGATCGGACGATGTTGACGATGTACTCACCGCATTTGTGGCCCAGGATCCGACTCCAGTTATATCGTATGAATGATTGTTATTGAAATACATATGTCGCCTATCGACTAAAATCACGTCGGTAGATAGCGGAATTAAAATATGTGAAATACGAGAAAGGATTTCGAATGCATATATTTTGTACAATCATTGATCCAGACAGACAATCAAAAGAACAAGGCGAAACGAAATGATGCGCAGTGGAGGAGGCATATGAGCTAAATCAATTTAATCAAGCGTCAATCAATATTTATATCCAGATAAAAATAAGTTACAGACATGTAATGAATAGAATACAAAGTGTACACACATATATGCTCATGTAAAAATAGTCAAGGTTGATAAGTGAATAATCAACAAAGTCAAAATGTAACTCAAAAAGGATTAAAAAATCGGCATGTTCAGAAGCTAGTATGAGGTATATTGGATTAACATAGCAAGGGACCATACAAGAGGACTCACCAACTCTAAAAGCAATCACATGAGTTAGACAACTTTTCAGTCATCAAGTGTGGTAGTACACAGTCCCGTAACTTGAAAGAATGAACAACAAGTTTATATATCTAGCCCTTGATTTCTCTTAGTTTTTTAGTGTCTCATTCTTTCTGAAGTAGATCATACTTTATTTAGAGTACATCAAAAATTGAAAATTGAGGTCAAAATTAAGCCGTAATTTTTTAAACAATCGATTTACAAGTATATACACTAATTATACTTCTACTCATGAAATAACCAAGTATTAAATTTATTATTATTATTATTATTATTATTATTATTATCATTTCTTATTCTTTATTTATAATATATTAAAGGTTAATTATCTTGGTAAAGAAGTGCATTTAGTACGTTGTCGTAATCCTTGGGGAGAAAAACATGAATGGAAAGGATCTTGGTCAGATAATTCACCTGAATGGAAAAATGTTAAATCTAAAGATAAGAAAGCTTTACAGTATAAATCAAAAGATGATGGAGAATTCTGGTAATATAAAATAAAACCTATTCATCATATTTCTATTTTGTTTAGTCTTTTATTAATTCATTATTTTTTTTTGTAATTTGTAATAGTCAGGTATCATATTCATAGTAAATTCAATGAACTATGTAGATCAAACCAATTTAAGTAAAGATTTGAATATATAAGTTTCTTGATGTTAGATCATTACGAAATATACATTCAGTAAAGATCCATTTTTTATAAGCTTGCCAAATCAATGTTAGGAGAAACAAAAAGCTATAAATTGATTTATTTGATGATGATATAGCGACTCGCGTGCTAATGGGTTTATTTTCATTTAACCCAGTTAAGCCCTTTTTGTTAACTTATTTAGCGGACAAAGCCATCCGCACCACAACAATTTATTGTATCCTTATTATTATTTTGAGCTTGTATGAAATACGTATGCTTGAATATTGATTACTGCCTACGCATTTATTCACTCTGCTAATCTTACTACTAACCGCTTATTCGATTCGATTACTCATTCATTTCACATGGTATATATATGTCCATGTCATTCATATTGAACATATTCGCTCACTCGCTCGCACGGTCTCGTTACGCTCTTGCTCTTGCTCTCGTTCGCTTGCTTGCCTTTCGGCACAACTCTTCTACGCTTGTTTAACACGTCTGTACATTTGGATATATGTGTGTGGTTTCGTAATAAACATAATCGACACTTCGTATTTGCCTTCTGATTAATATACCGTTGGTACGATATATAGAACGGTTATCGCGACGAACTGTATACGAAGTTTAAGGATTATATCAAATACCGACCACCACAATGATGATAATAATAAACTTCATTACTTTTATACTGAGTTACATTTAATAACAACCTGAACACTTCTTTATTAACTATATCAACTTTATGGCTTGTTCATCTTTCGATCATGTAATAAGAAGACGAAGATTATCAGAACTATGTGATATAATAGCGTAATACATTTCGGCCAATCTGATCACACATATACGTGCTAAGAACATTTATATATAAAAATAAAAAGGTCAATTAAACTGGAAATGGGGTAAGAGGAGACAAGGATAATAATAATAATAATAATAATAATAATAATAATAATAATAATAATAATAATGTTTGATTTCAACTTAGAAGTAAACTAGTATAATATCAAATACCATTTTACTATTTAACATAATTACAGATTTATGTGTCAATTAAATTGTCCCATTTTAACATTTTAGTAAATAAAGAAGGAATGAATCGAATCATAATGAAAAAACTAATTGAAAAGAAATTTCTTTGCTTGATTCGTTCCCTCTTTCATTAAACTGTCAATTTAATTTAAGGTTTTCGAATGTTTTAATTCCAAATAACTTTTAAGTCTTTACAATTTGATAAAGGAGTTAACAATAAGAAATTACTTCATTTATTCTTGATAGTTGCATAAATGAGAACAGAATATTAATGCACTATAACTCGAAACCAGATAATTGATTCATTCCATTGTAATTTAATATATATGAAGCCATGAAGAAGAAGATTTAAGGAATCAAAAATCTTAGTGATCATTACAAATGATAGTTATATTGTATACTGAAAGATTTGATGACTCTTCAGGTACTTGCATGAAAGACTTTAATATTAAATTACACCAGGGTTATAACTTATTTGTTATAAATCTAAACTAATGATGTCTATAATTTGATTGTTTAAAGTGACCTGTTACTTAATTATATAAGAAATAGACTATGTCCGTTTTAAAACATTTTAATGAAAAAGAATTATTCAACTGAATCAATGTATTTTGGGACTGTTCGAGCTCCTTTTTATCGAAGAGTTATGCTTTCATTTTATTTAAAGTTATTCTGTAAATTGATGATATGTGTATCATACATTACTACGTATTTCTAATTATATAATAAATAGAAATTATTGATCGCAATGTTCTGAAATAATTGATACAATAAAAGAAAACGAGAGTAACGATACCAATATATTGACGGAATGAGGCTAAAAATATATATTTGGTGTGATACTGATAACGTACACCAACCAGCAAACATCAATTAGTTCGCAAGTTATTACACAGAAGAGATGCATGATTTTTATTGAGTATATTTATTTCTTCAAAGTAAGATATTCCTTTCTTGAAAAATGTAGCTTTTACAAGTGTAATTATATGCGAAACTACAGATCATCGTCGAACAATCAGTTGAGTGGAACACGTCACTATACATCAGCTTCATTCATTATGAAAAGGTGCTTGACAGTGTAGATAACAGAATGTTATGAAACCTTCTTCGACACTATGGAGTTCCTGAGAAGACTGTCAACATTATCCGGAACTCAAACGACGAACTACAGTGCAAAGTCGTGCATTGAGAACAGCTGACAGATGCATTCCAAGTGACAAGAATGTCTACTCTTCCCCTTCCTCTCTCTTTTGGTGGTTGGCTGGAGGATTATGAAAACCTTGACATCTGAGGGAAAACACGGAATACAATGAAGAGCTCAGAAACAATTAGACGATCCGAACATCGCAGATGAACAAGTGCAGATGAAGACAACTAGTATAACTGAAGCCTCTGAATCAGGAGGTCTCAACATACAAATCGAAAAAAGCAAGATCTTCAAATAAAACACTGAGAACACCAAACCAATCTCACTTGATGAAGAAGCTCTGGAAGATATGAAGACATTCACGTACCTGGACAGCATAGTCCATGAACGTGGAGGATCAGATACAGACGTAAAGGCGAGGATCGACAAAGCAAGGGCCGCATTCCTACAACTGAAGAACATATGAAACTAAAAACAATTTTCAACGAATACCAACACAGTCAGTTCTACTGTACGGAGCTGAAACTAGAACTAGAGAACTTCTACAACCATCATCAAGAAGATACAAGTATTTATAAATAGTTGTCTACGCAACATACTCAACATCCATTGATCGGATATCATCATTAGCAGCCTTCTGTAAGAGCGAACAGACCATCTTCCAGTTGAAGAGGAAATTAGGAAGAGACGATGGAGTTGGTGGATAGGACACACATTACTCAAATCATCAAACTGCATCACGATACAAACCTTAACTTGGAATCCTGAAGGGAAGCTGTAAATAGAAAAGGCAAAGAACACATAACGTCGCGAAATGGAAGCAGATTTGCAAATGATGAATAACAACTGGAAAGAGCTGGAAAGGATTGTCTGGGACAGAGTTGGACGGAGAATGCTGGTGGGTGGCTTATGCTACTCCACGTGGCGTAACAGGCGTAAGTAATATATATATTATATTATATGGACCAATAATGCATTTTAATTGCTTAGTTTTGTGTTTTGGTTGTCGAAATGCCAACTACATTTTAGGATGTCGTTCGATGATTTTGAAAAGAATTTCACTCTACTTGAAATATGTCATTTTGGATACGCAAGTTTAGACCATAGAGATGAAATCGACAAAAAGAAAAGATGTGAGGAAATATGTTTTGCTGGTGAATGGGTTGCGAATGTAAATGCTGGAGGATCATTTAACTATCCAGGTAATTCTGTTTATACCATTAAACAAGTTAGTGCATGACATCGATAAGTAAATACTATCAGTTTAACATTCATATACTATTCTTAAATTACTAATATAGCCCAGTCAAGCAATCAAATTCAAAAGTTAACAGTATATATACAAACTACCTATATATGACTTCTTCATACATAAGCTTCATTTTGAACACTATTTAGTTCATATTAAAGCAGAAACATTTACATCAATAGGTTGTAGATTGAAAGTTAAATAACTAACTTGCCCAAATCTACCTTCACTTTTTTAAACAGTAGATGCTAATTCTTATCACTATACGTTTGATATTTAACTGCTGGTAACACATAATCATTGTAAACATTTGCTTAGTACTGAGTTCCAGGTTATCGATAGAACTTATATCGAAGTTATTAAAAATCTACCAGCTTCATATATGTATTCAACAGATAAAAATCTCAGCGAAATCTATCTTAATAATCCTGTCAAAAGTAGACTTAAATAAACACTTTTATCATACATGATCTATTTTGTTTCATGAGAGGTACAAATGATGATTTATCAAAATAATTAAATACAAATTTATTATACAGAATCATTCTGTACAAATCCACAGTATTTATTTACAATTGGAGCTGACCACAATGCTAAAGTTACTAAAACACATATCATCGTGGGAGTTATGCAAGAATACAGAAGACTTTTTTATGGCGGAGATTATTTGGCTATAGGTTTTTCAATATATGAAGTAAGTAACAATAGAAATTTATAAAATACGCTTCCTGATGATACTTTCTTTTGTGTCGTAAAAGTTTTACAAAGATTATTAATAATGGTTAAAGATAATTTGATTTTATCTTCATTAAAACAGTTGACTCTCAAATAATTGGTCAAACAATATGATAGTTGAGAGACTATAACCTATTATTATCGTTATTATTATTACTTGATGTGTGGTAGTGAAAGTAAAGTACGATTGGTCGTTGAACATGGACAAACAGTCACAGCCTACGGAATATTCAATATATTTTTGATTGAGATCACAAATCGATGAATGTTAGATCACCATTGAAAACCTGGAAGCATTGGACGTCCGATTCGTCCTAGTATGAGACTCCTCAGCAGTGTACATTACAACCATTTGTTATATCATTATTATTAATTTATGAGAACTTTTGTTTAAATCCGAACGAACAGTCAAAGTAATGAAAGGGAAAGTTTACTACTTTCCACAGATTGTATGTATGATACTAATATTGCTGAGTATTTTATAACGGTCAATCCTAAATTTAATACTCAGAAGTGCTAACAGTTTGTGGTGAATATCTATAAAGTGGAAGATTAAATGTAGAAGGATAAGATAATTAATTTGAAATTTGACTGATACCGTACTTGTTCTACATGGCCATAACTTTTAAATTCTCTTCTCATACAAGTCAAATGCACAACAATCATTCATCTTAAGACCTTTCTTTTATAGGTTGAAATCATGAGTCGATTAAAGCTAGACCACCATGGAAAACCTGGAAGCACTGGACGGCCGTTTCGTCCTAATATGGGACTCCTCAGCAGTGCACATCCACGATCCCGCACCACGCGTTGTTCAAACCCAGGACCTACTGGCTTCGCGCGCGAGCACTTAACCATTAGACAACTGAGCCGGCATCCAACGGTGTTAATGTCTAACTTCAACCAATCCACGAAGTTGCGCCACCGTACACCATTGTCTTCAGTGAGTTGTTATCTCACAACAGACCTGGTTGAACTCCACTGGTAACGGCTTTTAGTGGTTAAGTGCTCGGGCGCGAAGCCAGTAAGTCCTGGGTTTGAACAACGCGTGGTGCGGGATCGTGGATGTGCACTGCTGAGGAGTCCCATATTAGGACGAAACGGCCGTCCAGTGCTCCCAGGTTTTCCATGGTGGTCTAGCTTCAATCGACTCATGAGTTCAACCTATGAAATTTCTAAAAAAAACTCTCCACAAAACCCATTCTGACCTTTCTTTTAATTCTTCATAGTTACGTCATGTTTTTGATTCGTGAAACGATGTAATTTTTTATTTATAAATAAACTAATTTTATAAATCACCGTGTACATAATTATACGTATTTAGTGAATGAAATTTTCTTCATTGAATTGCCCTTAAATTCACTTCTGTTTTATTTGTTCTTTGTAAAAGATAAATCTCATTTATTTGTATTAGTTTATGATTGTTTATGTTAGTTTATTAATAACGATCATAATTATTAACCAGTTTACGTTCTTACTTTGTTATCATATTTGCTTATATACATATACCTATTAATCAATGACCTATGACAACAAAACTAGAAATTTATGCAAACCCTTTTTTATGGTAATTAACTTGATAATACCCCCCTTTTATTACATACTATATTGTAAAATATCATAATTATGGACTTATAACTGTAAAGCTTGATGATGAAATGATTGAAAACAAATGTTTGCTCATATATTATTTATTTATGCAAATATTTAGCCAAAGGTGCTAGGAAATATTATAAACCCCACTTTATTCCTATTTCTTGATAATTTTAAACTTTCTAGAAGAATAGCATGGATTCATTTTTATTTCGTTGGTTCTCGTCAGCTGCTTACAACCTGTGATATTTAAAATCATAATTACATAATGGGTTTAAATTACTTACATGAAAGAGTTTGATTGAAAGTTATATTGAAGACAAATTCGTACAGTATAGCAAGGGTGTAAATAAATTTAATAGACTGAATATTGTAAATATATACCTTATGTAAAAAACCAATAACTATAAATCTGAACTTCAAAGGTGATGATGTTACAAACACACTCAACAGGAGATTGAATACTGGGCTAGCCAGAACTTATCCGGCGGCCAAACTTCTAATTCTGTATAAAACAACATGTTCAATAAATCTATCAAAGGTTGATAGACATCCTTTTCATGTTACCGCCAATTGTATTTATAAATTTACGTGTACCTGCCAAAGCAGCTACATTGGCCAAACAGAAAGGAAGGAATATCTCAGATTTTTGGAATATATTCCAAAACATTTCAGAACGAGAGAAAGAAAGACTCTAAATAGTGCAATCATCAAACATCTCCTTGATACAGGACATCAGGTCGATACTCTACAATCATTCAATATGATTAGTAAGCAGCCTTGGTGACAAATATTCCTTCACCGTATCTTAATATGTTTTTTTCTTTTCTTTAAACTCTTTCTTGCACTCATCACATCATTGAGTTTTACTCCAACAATCTTCCAAATTTTTAATCTTATCAACTGAACTCTACTCATTTTATTTCTATCAATGTTTACTTGTTTCTAGCCTTTTGAACTGTTGTCACAATATTCTCTTACATAAGGTATATATTTACAATATCCAGTCTATTAAATTCATTTACACCCTTGCTATACTGTATGAATATGTCTTCAATATAACTTCCACCCAAACCCTCTCATGTAAGTAATTTAAACCCATTATGTAATTATGATTTTTAAATATCACAGGTTGTAAGCAGCTGACGAGAACCTAAGAAATATAATGAATTCATGTTATTCTGCTAGAATCTTTGTTATTGCTCTTTCCAAAATGATAAAAGGAACTATGTGTATGGAATTTTAAAATTATGGGTGAATGGTATCTCCTATCGCAATTCACTTTATACTGACTAACGGATTCGGTATCTTGATTCTAAGCAAATAATAAATTAATCTGCTGAAGGTATTGCTCTCATAAAATATTTATTTAATTAAGAAAGAAAAAGAGGGTGGCCGTATAGCATCATGCTTGTGTAAAAGTTGATGTTTATATTATGTAGGATCATATGTAATTATGTCCTCATATGATCAACGATTACTTCTAGTTATTATGGTATATCAACCAATGTAAAGGTGGATATCATGAAACACAAATCATAAATAACTATTGGAAAAAGATAGAGAGCACTCAGCAGTTTATTATTCTTTATTCAACATTACTTAACAAACTGTAACAATGACTTAAGGAAAAAAGCATGTTTTATAGCAAACTGTTTAAAAATTTAATGCATTATTCAGTAAAAACTATATTTAAATTAATTTTATGAAGAACAGTTAAAAATCTATTAACTTAGGTATCTGAACTGCAAAATACATGTCTTACAGCAGAAGAATTATTATGCCGAAAACCATTGTTAACATCAGACTACATTCCAAGACGTGAAGTAACATTAGAAGCTGACCTTTTTCCTGGAACATTTGTTATAATACCATCAACATATAATCCAAATCAAGAAGCACGATTTATTTGTCGGGTATTCTCTACTGTAAAAATGAAACAATTGTAAGTTTCAGTTGAATAACTATAACTATATGATTAAATTATGTTAATTTAATATCAAAACTAGCAACATTTATAACAAATCTGATTTTAAAGATATATTAAAAACTAGAGCTAACTAATGTAGTGAGTTTCGATAATGTAATAAGAAGACGAAGATGATCAGAATTATGTGATATATTAGCGCAATGTAGTAAGCCAATCAGAAGTAGCCAAACAAGAAGGCCAATCGATGGTAATCAAAATTGACCTGAAGGGCTAGTGCATTTAATTAGTTAAGGAATAGATTGACTTCCTAAGCGGTATATATATACGAATATTCGTGCATTATATTTGGTATACAAATACGCTACCTCATCTACTTTTGTGTTCTCAATCAAATAGTCAGGTGGGGGATTAGCACGTAGCACATCATGTATCAGTAACCGATTTCGGACACCGTCCACCATAATATTAACGCTCATAAAATGACTACTATTTTCTAAAAATAACAAGTGATCAGTTTGTGATAGGATATGTACTAAGCATGTTTTGCTTTTATGAGAAGTAAACGATAAAGTGTACTGAAAAAAATATGAATATTATATTGATTATGATTAATCAAAGTAAGAAAGAGGATCAAAATGTTTAATTTGTTTCTGTTACCAAGAAAGTTGATGATTAACTACTTACTATATTTAAAATGCGAAAGTCAGGTCTTAGCTGTTTAAATGAAATGTCTTACGCGAATTGGACTGTTTATTGTACATTTTGAATGTATTGAGTCAATGTTATGCCTCGAGTTTAGCAAGAGGTGAAATTGAACGAGCTCAAAACACTTTGCTTAAACCTAATATTCATGTATGGACAGGTCAATGAAAATGAGATTTATCATATATCTGTGATTAAACCCTACTGAAATTAACAAGTACGATATTTAGCTAACATAATTAGTCAACTTGTAAAGAAACCCCTATGTACTATGTGAAGAACACTTTTCAGTTTGATAGATTGAGTAAATATATAATATAAACTTTTAATTTCCTATGTCCTTTTTTCACAGTTTATCAATATCCCTTTGGAAGAAAGTATTGACATTAATGGTCGATACTCATAACGGATACTCCGACTACAACTCATACTGTTACTAAGATGATAGACTAAAACTTTCAATTTCAACTTAGCAATGAATTTTATTATTAAGCAAATGGTATGACCCTTCAAGGCCAGTCTTTGAGAATGTATTCATTGTAAACTTGGAGTGAAACGTAAGTATTCGTCACATGACACCTGCAATCGAATTATATGCACAAATAAAAAAAATTGCACCGAAAAGGCAGTAAGGAAAGCTTCCAATCAATTTTTAGTATAGTCCCAGAAACTTGCACCTTGGAAGACAAAATGGTCTTCAAAGTTTGATTACACATCACCTGGTAAACTGAAGGCGTAACATTGACTCAATACATTCAAAATGTACAATAAACAGTCCAATTCGCGTAAGACATTTCATTTAAACAGCTAAGACCTGACTTTCGCATTTTAAATATAGTAAGTAGTTAATCATCAACTTTCTTGGTAACAGAAACAAATTAAACATTTTGATCCTCTTTCTTACTTTGATTAATTATAATCATGATCTATTGAGTTCAACTCAAACGTCTGACTTTTCTTTCTTTGTAAACTTCCTAAATCTTTATTGAATTGAGTAATAGTATTAATTATATTCTAGAATGACCACCTTAAACAATAAGAAAAAAATCTTTTTTTTAAGAAATTGGGTTCTTAACTTATTTTAAATTCCAAACAATCTATTCGTAATTGCCGAACAATTAATTTATTGAGTGCTAAATTATGTTAGAAATTCAAATGGAACATACTTGTTTATTCGCTAAAAAGAACACAATGAATTATAATGAATTTATTGAATTCAGCAAATATTGTCAGTCTTACTTTGTCTATACATGTTAAAGGAATCCAATAATCGATAATTTCAATAGTTGAGATCATGTGTCAATTGAAACTAGATCACCATGAAAAACCTGGAAGTACTGAACGGCCTTTTAGTCCTATTTTCGGACTCCTCAGCATTGTACATCCACGATCCTGCCTCGCGAGTTTCAAACCTAGGACCCATTGGTTTTGCGCGCGAACGCTTCACCTCTAATAAATGTTTAAAACGGATAGACTTCGGCTATCAGTAGAACTTAGGGTACCTTGTTTTCTTTATTTGAGTCTTATCAGCTAAATACAGTGCATCCAAGTTTTCATATTTCAGTTAAAGTTACAATCCATATATTCTAAAGAACTTGTAAAAGTGATTGCATCAAGGCAATCTACACAGGAACCATTCATGGAAACAGAGAACAATCAAAATTTAGTCAAGAAGAAGATCAATCAAACCCTTATTTTATAACCATTAAGTGATTAGTTATGTTTGACCAGTAATGTGCTTTTTTTATTCACTATCCAGAGTAAGCATCAAATCGTGAATACATTCTTACGCTTGTATAACCATTAAATAAAGTTATATTAAGGGGTTTTATAATGCTACTTTAGTCTTGTGATATTTATGACAGAATAACCTCAGTTTAACTACTACTGGGAACTAGTGAGTTTTAGTGGAACGGGGTCTGACTCCAGGTAGATCGTATGAATGATTGTTATACATATCGCTAACTATTGTATATAATCACCGACTTAAATCGCGTTAGTGAATAACGGAATTATATACGTCAAATACGAGAATGAATTTTGAATACGTATATAATCTTTGATCGGAAAGCAAAGCAAGACAAAATGAAGCGCAACGGGGAAGCAAGTGAGTCAACTTGATTTATTTATAGCCGAACAAAAATAATTTACAGACATATGATGAACATGGTAAGTAACTAACACACATGCGATCATTTAAAAACAGTCAGGAATGACAAGTGAATAAGTGACAGGGTTAAAATTAGGCTTGAGAAGAATGAATAGATTGGTCTTTCCAGGAGCTAGAATAAGCTAATATGGGCTCAACATAGTAACTGACACTACAGAGTAATAAAACATAGTTTCAACCCTAACTCCTGACAATTGGTACCCATAATCCGATCATGGGTCAAACACAGAAGTTCCGGATCTTGAGTTAACCTCTTAGTGTCTACTGAAAACATATGACTAATTATAGTTTATGCATGTCTTGAGGTAACACTATTTTTATTGATTAATTAGCTGTTACTCTTTATTGGTGAAACATTTTAAGTAATATGCTTATTTTTCGTTTAATCTTAGGGAACTGGATGAGGAGAATCTATACGAAGGCTTTCCAAAGGTATGTTTACATGTTATCGTATAGTAGCGACAGTCTACAATGTAAAGATAACTATTATTAATGATTTATTCAATATTGTATATTTGGTGCAGTGTAGATTTCTTAACACGAACTATTTCCTTTGCTTATTTCGTGATCGATCCTTGCGATATATATTGAGTGATCTCCAGTTAGATGTAAGCAGTTCAGGAATTGACATCTGAATAGTGTTTATTTGTTTCAATGCATAGTGCCAGGCACCACAGTGTCTCTGATTATACGTTTTTGTAACTTGTAGAGTGAAATATCGTAAACTTTTCACAAAGTCACCTGAACAAGTTGTGCGAATAATAGACGTAGCAAAAAAAGGTATCTCACTGAAATATATAAATGGCTGGAACAGACATCTCAGATATTCAAGCAAGCCCCTAATAACAACTATATATTTGTATTAATATTTTACAAAATGTTGAAAGTTTTACATATGCTCAACAACAAGAATTTTATCAGTTGGCGTATTCTTTTTGAAGTATCACGCCACATTCTAAAAATACAAATACTTTTGCATTGCATAAGTACATTCACAGAAAAATTAATAAAGTTTTAATAATGGCATGGCATTTAGTTTTAAATATCGGACTGAACTATGCTACTATGACTTGAAATATAGTGTCTAAGTTGAATAACATAACAAGACAATGCAATTTGTTACAAACCAATAGGTTGTACGAATGGCAATCTAATCCCGTGATTAAAAACACTTTTCCAAGATTCTAAAATTGCACCTCTCAATATGCTAGGACTGATTATAGCTGAAAGTAATGGGTACCCAATTAGAGCCTCAATGTGCATATCAAAACTAGGATGTTTAATAAATCTAGCTGATGAGTACTAAATAGGATAAAAGGCAGATCCCTTATTTCACTTCAAATCACTATTCACATCTGTACTGTATACTGCTTGACGGCTCATATACACCCACTCTTCGTAAAAATAACTCAGCTAAGTTATGTGAACTCTTAGTGTACCTCCATGATTAAAATTATCAAGCAGTCATTACAATTTTAAAGAACATACCATTACTGATAGCTTAATTCAAACTAAAGACGTACGTGTATACAGCTAGGTAAACTACATCATAAAACTCATCAAAAAATCATATACCACTTCCAATCTTGTGTAAAGAATTGAAATGTAATTTATTCGCTGAATAACTCCTACCACTTAGTGAAATTACAAGTCCTTTAAATTAAAGCTATCTAAACTATTCGACTGAATGATGTTAATTGAAATGTTTTCTTAATAACATTAGTTTAACCTACTTTATCGCCTGGTTTTCATTAGTTCCTCAGATGATATTGATATGGTAGAGAATATTTGTAGCTCAGGTGGAGGATTTTGATGGAGTTTTGTTCTCTGAGCTGGATGATTTGGTCGTGGAGCTTTCATCATTCTTCTGAACAATATCATCCAGCTCAGAGAACAAAACTCCATCAAAATCAGATGATATTAATTCGTGATGAAACATATTATAACTATGATGTTATTTACACAAAGTTGTGATAATAATTATATTTCATTGTAAATGTAACGAAATACTATCCATTATCGATTATTGTTGTTCATTAAAAATTTCAGTCAACAGTGGAAGTTCTTCAAAATATCATGTTAGTAAGTTTAACAATGTTTCTATTGATTTGATTCATTTTAATTGGAATTTTAAGTCTAGCAATCGATAAGTTTGTGTATTTAATAATAAAAAAATTGTGTTAGCCATAGTTATCACTGGATGATACACTTTTCCCATTTCTTAACTTTCAATATTAACAGGAATCGACCCAACAACACATGGTCATCGTGTTTATTGATTTAATATCTCGAGTTGTAGTACTGAATATTTTGTCGAAAGAAACTGCCACGTCATACGACAGCTTATGTGGAACTTTAATCATATATCTTTCTGTCTGAGAAATTTTAAGTTTATCTTAGTAACATACTGTAATAAGTACTCATGAAATTATATCGCTGGTTCTCGGTTTGTTATACTTACTTTATGATAGGCTCAGATTTGCAAATCTGTTGATTAGTGACTACACTGAATATTGTTTCATTATGAATGCTTTACTTAAAAGTGATACCCTAAAAAAGTCTACATCATGTAATTAGTTATAATTATCAAAATTTTAGTGTTATTTAAATTGAATAGATGCTTTATAAGACTAAATGATCATAGAAACGAATAATTTAGTGTTCTACTACCATTCTTATTTTGATATTGTGACTTCATTGAAAGAAGTTTTTAAAACATGATCGAAATGATTATTTTGTTAAGTCAAACAACAGAATTTTTACTCATTCCTTTTCTTGTAGAAGGAACTTACTTCATTGGAATTAAATTTTAAGCAGTTATGTAATCCAATCACCGAAACAATCAATTCTAGAATATTAGGTACTATTCTGGATCAATATAATTTTCGAGGTGAGTGGACTCAACCTCCTATTTTTAACTCATACTTATCCATGCTTCGTGAAAATAGAATGATTAACTCATGCTAGTTTATTTATTTGTAGTACTATATAATCATACCATACTGCTTATTAAAGAATATTCTAAACATGATCTTAAATCAAAGATATAATGCATTCCATTCGTCGGTTTCATTATTAGAGGATCTTTTAAATGTTTGAGAGTTTTAACTAAAAGGTAACTCATAATTTAATAGAGATTATTGAATTCTATTAAAAATATTATTAGTTACTAACGACGGAATTCCAGAGATCCTTAATACAATTCAAAAATGATAAACTTTGAATTTCACTACACCATATAGTAGTTGGTAATTTTCTTTCCATATTTTTCTATTTCAGATTATATGATTGGTTTTACGGAATTTCCTAGTAACTTGTGTAGTAGTTTAATATCTTCAGCATCTGTATCCTTTATAAAAAAATATCATAACAGTAATCATGATTTGATTTGCTTAACAGTAAGTAAATTTAGGAATTACACAACAGAATTATTGATTTTTGGAATTGGTTATCTGAAAAAGTGGTGAAAAAGTGTGACTGTTTGTATTGGCAACAATAAAGAATGGATTTGATTAGGTCTATACTCAATCAGCGTTAAAAATGTTCGATTTCTCCTTATGGGTTGGTGTAGACACTTATATTTTGATGTGGGAAGAAAAAATAAAATCTTGTTTAAAACAGTTATTTCTTTTGACTAATTTATATGATGCAATTAGACGACAGAGTTTGTCAGATCTACGTAATATGTGTTATTGCGGTGGGTTTGTAAGACTTCAGAAACGGTAACTTTTCATAAAAGCTAATCGGTTTCAGCGGATAAGGTCTGATCAACCAAGGAACGTTGAGTATCTTGCTTAGACAACTGTTCATAATTACTTGTACTATTTTGATGACGGTTGTGGTAGTTTTCGAAGTTTCAGCTCCGCACAACATAAATGTCTAGAAGTTCGTATTAAACATATTCATTTTGATATTAGTTACCAGTTGTCTTGAGTTCCATATGTTCTTCAATTGTAGTAATGCGGCCCTTGCTTTACCAATCCACTCCTTTACGTCTGCATCTGATCCTCCACGGTCATCGACGATGCTGTCCAAGTGCGTGAACGTCTTCATATCTTCCAGAACTTTTCCATCAAGTGAGATCTGGTTGTTGTTCTTCGTGTTGTGCTTGAGGATATTGCTTTTTCCTTTGTGTATGTTGAGGTCCACTGATTCAGAGGCTGAAGTTACACTAGTTGTCTTCATCTGCAAATGTTTTTGTGTCTGGGAAAGGAGGGCTGGGTACTCTGTGAAGTCCAAATCGTTTAATTGTTTCTGAGCTGTTCATTGTGTGCCCTGTTTTCCCTCAGATATCGAAATCTTCATAATCCAGTCGACCACCAGAAGAAAGAGGAAGGGGTAGAGTAGACACCCTTGTCTGACTCCGGTCCTTACTTGAAATGCATCTATCAGCTGTCCTCCATACACGACTTTGCAGTACAGTTCAACTTATGAATTTCGGATGATGTTGACAACATTTTCATTCACTCACTCAACAGTGTCGAAGAAGTCTCCATAAGGTTTTCCTATTCCTACTTTTAAGCGCTTCCTCAAAATCAAAGAAGTTGATGTATAGTTGATTGATTGATCAACGATGTTCCGTAGTGTGGCGATTCGGTTTATGCACGACAGATCCTTACGGAATCCAGCCTGTTTATCTCAAAGTTGAGCGTCTACTGAATCTTCCATTTGGTTCGACAACACTATTTTGTGAACTTTTCCTAGTTTAGAAAATAGCATGGTTCTTTTCTCTTAGTAATCTCCTTTCTTTGGTATCTTGATGAGATATCCGTCTTTCCTGTCTGTTTGCACCTGTTCTTCCTAGCAACGTTTTCTGGACGGAATGTAGAACATTGTTGCAGTTACTTTTATGTTTGACTTCACTGCTTCGGCCGGTATGTTGTCTGGTCATTTTGCCTTCCCACTCTTGATTTGTCTGATAGCCTTCAGATTAAACCTGAATGATCAACTTATGATTAATCATATAACACTTTTCAACTGTGTATTTGGCAATGGATGACTGTGGGATTGTAACAGACTGAAAATTAATTAGGATAATTAGGATATTGCTTTTCCCCTGTAGGCTTTCTGAAGATAGAATTCTAGATTAAATCATACATTCATTTGTTAAACATCTTGATGTTGTGAACTTTTCTTAATATGAAAGAATAATGTGAATTTGGAGAGAATTATACTTTTTTCAACACATTACTTTCGCGTTCAGGCTTGTTAATTACGAATATGATTTCATTCGGATTTTGATCATGAAAACATACATCTTTGTTGTAATCATCTGGAACGTTTTCAACGTATGATATGCGAGATGTTAGTCAGCAATCGTCCTAATATATTATTCATAAAAACAATGATCGAGTTGTCATGGTTATCACCTGTAGATTTGAACTGGACTTTTTCAGCGCTTAGTAATAACTGGATCTAAAAAAATGGTTAATGAAAAATTATCCAAGACATAATCCTTTAGAACATCATTGGGCTTTCTCATAAATATGTATGCGATTTGCTTATTTTTAAATAAATATCTTAATTCGTTCGTTTGTAACCAGATTGTATTTCATTAATTGTTATAATTGATGATCGACTGTTATGACTGCGTTGCCAACCATTATATCTGGTCGTCGCTAGTTGTTATGTCGGAATCGCTAATCACTTATACTTGAAAATGAGGAACCAGTACAATTCTCATGATGCGAAAAGTAAAAACACCAAGACTAGTACAAGTGAAGATTTATTAAACTCAAAACACGAAAATACACTCAATTATATATTGATTTGTACACCCATTTTGGTTAATAATTAGGATGAAATCACATATATGAAAGATACTTAATGTTATAACAAATCATATGCTGTGTGTCATGTTAATTTAATACAAGAATATCATATGTTATGACGAATGGAGTATTATGCAAGAAAACAAATCAATTACTACATTGCTTAATCATCACATTGAATTAAAACTGAAGTACTGTTGAACAAAAATCTCAATGAGTAAACGAATGTAATTTTGCCTTATTATTATGGTCATAACACTTATATATCAGAGTTCTGATAAATTTCATTTTCTCAATGTATTATATTTAAAAAGTTGTTATTTATTCCTAACAATTACTATGATGTTCAGACAAACTTGACAGGTCAAATTGACTTAGAAGAGTTCCTATATCTCATGACTGATCTTATGGGATGGATGGTGGGTTTTCAATTCATTATAATCATAATTAATTCTAGTTTATATAATTAATTATAGGATATTATAAAATTATTTAAGTTAATCAGTGAAACATTATCTTTCTATGACTGAGTATTTAGACTAGCAAAAAGGATTATATATAATCAAGGAGGGGGGTTTTGTGGAGATTTTAGTAATTTAATAGTTAAATGCATGAGTTACTTGAAGCTAGATCATCATAGAAATTATTCAACAATGTTATCCTGTGCAATTTTATCAGTAAACTGAATCTTATGCTAGTGACATCCATATAGTCAGAATTTATTGAATAAAACTATATGCAGAATAACTTTTGTGAGGACTTATGATAAACCGAGATAAACGGTCATAATATTCGTTCCTGATAAGTCTTTGTTATATCTTGTGGACTGCAGATCAGAGCGCAGCGAATTATCGATCGGACCAAAGACGCGTAAACACGTAAGAACGACCTAGAGTCCTGATTGGCCCTGCTCTGCTGTCTAGCCCAGCCAATTGAGTCCAGAACGCAATTCTCAGCCTCTGAGATATGAATCGTTATATTTCAAACATACTCTGTTTATATACCAATCAAGCAGACCACATCGTACCATAAAATAGAAAATAACATTTGACAAGTGAAATAAGTATTGACCAGTAGGAAAACGATACCATCTCAAGTCCAAGAATAGTATTAGACTTAGTAGAATAATTTTTGGGATTTATAGATGTTCACATTTGTTAAATCAACATCATATTTTGACCAATCTGCTAAAAGACATATTATGCTACTGACCAATAGTAGCACGCCACGTTGATATTCTGGAAAGCCCCTTCATGCTCTGATTGCCTAGGACTCTTAGGCTCCTTTAGGGCCTCTGGAGGCTCCGTTGCAGTTCTTGGAAAGCCGACTCAACAGTTCCACTATGACAATTTTTTGAGTAAACAGAAATAAATGACAACTCAATGTAATCGACTTCCCTCTAGCAAGTAAAACTAACTGGTATAATCTGATAGTTTAGCAAAAGCCTTTATGACTTTTCTTGTGATTGATGTTAATTTCTACTCTCAATATAATTGTGATCATCGTAATCAAATAAATCTGGGCAACGGAAAGTGGCATGAAGGATGAATAAAGCAGAATGCAATGAATTTATTAATTTCACGAATACATAAGTATGAATCACTTGAACACTATTATCAGTCTTCCACAGCTCTAGTGACCTGGGCATCGATCATTCAGTTATCTAATAGCTTATTTTGTGTTTGCAATTATAAATCCATTAACTTCATTTCTTTCCTACGTTTTATCTGAGTTTCACTCATCCTAATCTTAATATCAATCCTTTCAATAGTTTGTGTGACATAGTCCTTAACATCAATTTTTATTTATAAGACCAGCTTCAATACTCTTCAAAAAGTTTTCTTCTAGAATATTCACAAAAGTATTCTATCAATATTTAACCATAGTGCATTTCTTAGGTTTCTTGCATGTTTATTGGCTTTTGTGCTAAATCTGATCAATGAGAATTTCTCTGATATTATGATATGACTTATGTACATCTTTCTTTTCAACTGAATTATAGTAATATTTGTATAAGTCTCAAGTAGCTAAATAGATTTTTTAAAACAAATGAATCCATCTTATTCTGCCTCATTTATTCTTCTTATTCTATTTCAATTGATCAATATGAAAAATTGCATGAAATAACAGGAAAGAGTTTTCATTATTATTCTGCCTGATAATCAATAACTAATATTTATAGCTGAGCTGATTTTGTCGAATTAAAACCTACCTTAGGAATCTGTTAAGGAAATACAATTACTAGTAGACACTTCTAATTGATATGGCTAGCACTTAGGTATTCGTATTCTTGATCAGTGTGTTTGGCTAGTTTATAACACGTTAATCCGTCTCTAACTACTTACTTACACCTGTTACCAGTCGTGAAAGAGTGTAGGCCGCTCACCAGCATTCTCTATCCAACTTTGTCCTGGACAATCCTTTCCAGTTCTTTCCAGTTCCTGTTCGTTCTTTCCATGTCTGCTTCCAATTCCCAAAGCAATGAGCTCCTTGGTCTTCCTCGTTTCCCTTTCGCTTTAGGATTCCACATTAGCGCTTGCTTCGTGATCTAATTTGATGTTTTCCACTTTCAGTGTCTTTTCTTAATTTTCTTTTCAGGTTGATTTTTGTTTGTTCTCTCCCACAGTAGGTTGTTGCTGATGGTACCCAGTCAACGAAAATTGAGTATCTTGCGTAGACAACTATTTATAAGTCCTTGTACTATTTTGGTTATTGTTGTGGTAGTTTTTGAAGTTTCATCTCCGTTCATAGAACTGTCTTGACATTCGTATTGAAGATTCTCTAATTACAACATGATAAATTACAAAGAAGAGTGTCATTATAAATAATCGAAATAGTTATTAATTATTCAAACTGATCACTGTAATTTTGTTAACTATGATTCGTACCATAAGTTACAGTCTAGTTCTTTATTGAGTAAATTATTCTAGACAATACAGACCCTACTAAATTAAGTTTATCTGAGTACTACAAAAACGAACTTAACGATAAATCAATGCAACATGGAAACTTGAATTTCGCATCACAATAATCTAACTATAAAAAATTTTCAGCTGACCAACTTATATGATAGCTATCTATTGTTCATGTTTACTATTTTAATTCATTGAACAATATTTTTTAGTTTGTCATTACTAACTTTATGACTTTATCGAAAATCTCAATATACAGTACGCTTTTAACAAACATGATGATCGGAAAGGATGTGTGAGTTCGTTCAAACTTCGTGATTTATTGAAAAGTGCAGGTAGGAATATTAAGAAAAAATACATGTATTTATTATTGTATTATTAGTCTGCCAATTTTGATTTGCCGGTATATAAATATCATTATTCACAATTGATTGATCACTAGGTGGTGATTAATGTCATGTATGTCAAGTCCTTCTTGGTGCAGATCGAATGCTATCAACCAAGTTGCAATGTGGTCAGTAGTCTAAGTGACTCAACATTGAGTGTACAATGTTGAGATAAAATGGTGGTTGGAAGTAGTTAACAGGAAACACTGAACTCAGAACCGAATCCGTCAGGGAGTATCAGTTCCCTCGAGATTACAGGTATAACTTGCTGACGAGTGCCAAATAGCACGAAACCCGGGTCCAGGGTTTCCTGTTGACTACCTCCAACCATCCTGTTATCTCATATATCATTGCTAAATGGAGATTAATGCATTTAATCATTATTTTTGTGGTTTCAGTAAAAACGTGACAATTTTGAGGCTTCAAAAGAAAACTCACGCATAAAACTTCCATAATTTTAATTTCTAAACAGATAATTCTTATATATTACAATGAATTCTTACAAACCTACATTTTGCAAACAAAACTAACCAGAAATATATCAAAAGACCTTCATAATATTCATTATTATATAATTTGTAACCTAGAAATAACAAGAATTCGTTTATGGCTTTACGTACTTGAAACTTGATTTACTTCGTTCTACTTCAAAAATATATCATTTATTAGAATGCCTAAAATGGAGTTTTGTGTTAGATAACTTAGCTATAGATCGTAACATGCTTGTGAAATAGGAATCTGTGATTGATGTGGTCAATCGAGATTACTAATTAGAATATTTAAGATGATTTTATGACTCAATAAAATCAAATCCGAGGAAACAAGATACATATGGGTTACATTCACGTGATTCTGATTACAATTAATCGGGGAAACAAACTGAGTTTAAATGCTTAGTTCACTTTGTTACCAAACCTGTTGAAGGTTAATCACCAACTCTTTTGTCAATGCAAAGTTCAAGTCGAAGCTGTCTAAATGATATGGTTCCTGCAACCTTTAATGAGGTACAGTTGGATTGTTTGTAGATCACTTCGAAGACGCTCATTTCATTTTTACTATGACCATTATTTATCAGGTGATGTGCTATCAAACTACGAGTTTTTTTGTACCTTGTGGTGTATGTTCAAGGGAATGTACTGAGTGAGACGATTAGAAGACTGTCGTTTTATTCTTTTTATACGTGTATGTAAATTAATATGAAAATTTGGATATGACATGCGATGTGTAATTACTTACCATTGTTTGTGTTGACGCGCATCATGTTATGTGAAGCTTCTAGAATCATTATCGTCTTCTGTATATAATTAGATTTATTTAGTAATACAACCTCAGAAATTTTACCTGGTTTGATCATTGCTAGATAATCGTCGTCCCATACATTTTTGTATGGTATCATAATGGGCTTTCGTCATAGCTTGGGAATGAAGGGATGATGTAGTGTAAAACTGGTTAACAATATCAACTAGCTTTGTTTTAAGCCTTCGTTACCTTCGGTTCAGATACTTAGTTAGGAAATTAATAACTCAAAAATCTGAACAGACCGACATCAATTAAAAAAACATAAGACATATTATTTTGTTATACGGTAATAAACTTAGAAATTAACCGAGTTGTCATTTATGAAGGAGATTAGATTGGATGTAGTAACCAATATACATAGATTCATAGTGTTGGTTGACATGTTAAGCCTTTCGGACTATCCAATCCATTCATTCTAGTTGAGTCGTATTTCGCCCTTGTTAATTATTTGCTTATCAGCCTTGACTATTTTTATATGAGCGTATGGGTGCGTACACATCTTATCCTATGCATCACATATCTGTAACTTATTTTCGTATGACCATAAACATTGATCAACGCTTGGCTAAATGGAGTTGGCTTACCCGCCACCTCCACTGCACGTCGTTTCGCTGTGCTCTATTTCATTCGCTTCTCCGATATTTTGTTAAGTTCAAAGATCGTATGAAATATACGTATTCGAAATCCGTTCTTGTATTTGACTTATTTAATTCCGTTATTGACTATCGCGATTTAAATCGATGGTTATATACGAGGATAGACAACAATCATTCAATAACAGTCATTCATACGATCTATTTGGAGTCAGATCCCACTTAAAATTACATTGAATTCCAGTGATGATGCATAGAGTGAAGATGGAAGGTTTACTACTCCAAATGAACAGCCACTAGCTCAACAAACAATCGATTAATTTAATTTTAGATAGACTTTTAATTAATATCCGATAAGTAAGAAACCAGAGGCAGTAATCAATAGATTGAGTTTGCCGAACCATTATTATCTAAATAATGATTAGATAATGTATCCATCAAGGTGCATGGTCATCATTTCCAACAATCTAATTACTTATGCTATGAATCTAGCCAGGAATTCTTCGAACGAATTAGACTTAATTTATGATGATTCCAAACTAGTTTTTTTATATTCTTCTAGCATTAATACTTCTTATAAATTGCTGATCTCGAAAAAACAACTTATTATAATACCTCATATATTTTGAAATTTTTCAAATAGGTTATAGCGTCAGTAATAGAGTTCTCCATACTTTGACACATCGATATGTAGATCACAAACAAGGTCATATTAGCTTTGAAAGCTACCTACATTGTATGGCACACCTTAAACTTGCCTTTGATGTCATGTCGTTCCACCCGAAAAACGATAAGGGTATTCTAAAGTTTAGTCGCGAAGATGTAAGTTTTCTACATCGAGAATTCATCATTTTAAAGTTTAAAATGTTTCTTCTTGACGGAGATTGCAGTTTTTCGACTTATTATTGTTAATCTGACTATTTTTTCAGTTAATGATTCCTATTGTTATTATACGTTTGTAATAAGAAAATTTTTGAATGTACCATATTCATTATTGGTATAATGTTGAATCATCATAGTGGCATATCATACATGTTCAATGAAAAAATTCTCGATTATTATTTGAGTAACTGTTGTACGTGATGTTGTCACGTTTTCTCAATTTCAGTCTATTCTTGTCAGCACCATCTTAGTATTAACTTCCTACTCATCTAGTTTAATCTTAAAGAATATCACTACATACAAATACGAGAACATGAAGAAAAAATAATAGTTTACCATGGATTCTTTGTAATATTTTAGAAGTATTGACTTATCGTAAACGTTTAACTGACTAGAAAAGAACATAATGAATGTAGGTTCGAAGGAGTGAAATAACTCTTTTATCTACGTTTAGAAACAAATGAGTATAGTCGTATTATTATTATACAGTGCACTTAGATAGTTCTTCACCGAATAATTATCGGTCTGTTGAATACAGAAGAGCTGTATATCACAGGAATCTAATCCAGTCTATTTATTAGACTATAACAAGTAGATTGTGATCAAGTCAATCAAACAATATTATGCTAAGAAACTTTTGTTCCCTGAAGTCAGTCTAAATAATAGACAAGAAGGTTCTCTTTCAAATATCATGAAACATCAACGTTGCTAAGTTTCTTCTAAAATCCTGTAGTCCTTCACTTCATCTATACTGTTTTAACCTCCAAGAATCAATGAATGATGAACAAAAGAAAAACATTACCAAGACACCAATAAACATGATTTTCCAACAACAAAAAATTGTTATTTAATTTTAGAGTAGTTTTGATGTTTTGTTATAATGATGCTTTATGAATAATAACTGTTTTCTTTCTTTCTTATCTTTTTTTTATTTCAAACCATAGTACCTACGTTTATCTCTTTCTACATAAACTGTCATGTATTATTGGGAATTCAATGAATGCATTATTAATAATAACTTGGACATAAATATTCATCCGATTAACTAAATAATTTAATCACTATGTAAATCAACCATGTTGATTAGTTTCACTAGTGTTTACTTTTTCTAGAATTTTGTGAATAGTTAATAAAATTTTTCTTTTTTTACTGTTCTAACAATGACTATTAACTCTGTTATACAAATTTTAAAAAAAAGAAATGGAATGATACAAGTATGTTTATTTGTTTGTTCCTTTGTTTTTGTTCGATTTGTATTGATTTCATATTAGATATGATATTTACACAACAACTATTTGCACCATGTAAAATTAAATCTGACTGTTTGTCAATATTATAAGTGTAAACAAAATACAGTAATCTTCTAGAATATCAGCTCGACAAACGGACCATATAAATTCAGTTCTCATCAATTTCTTCTGAAGATATATATAATTTTATGAAAAAAATGTGATTAGTGAAGAGAATTAAACTGTTAGCTTCTAAATCTTTCATACTTATTTGCACCGGTTATTCCACGTGGAGGAGAATAGGCCGCCCACCAGCACTCTACATCTAGCCCTGTCCTGGGTAGTCCTTTCCAGCTCTTTCCAGTTGTTATTCATACTTTTCATATCTGCTTCTATTTCTCGACGTAATATGCTCTTTTGTCTTCCTCCTTTCCACTTCCCTTCAGGATTCGAAGTTAGGCACGCCTCGTGGTGCAATTTGATTATTTCTTCAATGTTTGATCTATCCAATTCCAGTATCTTTTCCTAATTTCCTATCCAGCCTGACCTTTGTTTGTTCTCTCCTAAAGTAGACTCTTGCTGATGGGATCCGGTCGACAGACATTCAGTATCTCACATAGAAGATTGTTTATAAGTGCACGTACATTTTTGATAATGGTTGTAGTAGATCTCAAAATCTCAGCTCCACGCAGTAGGACTAACTGTCTTGACGTTGGTATAGAAGATTCTGACTTTGATGCTAACTTGTAAGCAGGTGCTTTTAGTTTCATATGTTCTTCAATTGTTGAAATGCTGCTCTTTTACTTGACCAATCTCTACTTTCACATCTGCATCACATCCTCCTTGTTCATCGATGATGCTACCCAGACACGTGAACGTTTCCACATCTTCTAGAGCTTCTCCATCAAGTGAGATTTGGTTATTGCTTTCAGTGTTGTATTTGAGGATCATGTTTCTTCCTTTGTGCATGTTGAGGTCTACTGATTCACAGGCTTCACCTATACTAGTTGTCTTCATCTGCATTTGTTCGTGTATATGGGATAGAAGAGTTAGGTCATCTGGGAAGTTTAAATCATCTAGCCTCTTTCAAGCTGTTCATTGTATTCCGTGCTTCCCCTCAGATGTCGTGGTTTTTATAATTCAGCTGACCACCGAAAAAAAGAGAAAGGGGGAGAGTAGACAGCGTCGTCTGTCTCTAATCCTTACTTTGCTTATAAATCACCAAGATAAAATTCTATAATCTAAACAATGAATAATATTTGTCAAATGAACTTTAGACTCACTTACATCACCGAATATTATATCTCACTGTTGTTAAAGATTAGGTTAAAGATGTTTGTACAGAATATTAATTGATTTGCTGTATTTTTATGTCTAAATCTAAAGATAGATAGAACGATTAACAGAATAATGACTGGATTACAAAAATAACGTATATTAGAATATTCAACACCGTTCAAATTAACAAACCAATTAGTGACTTTAAATTGAGATTGTTAAACTCCATAATCCTAACTTAAACACACGCAAAAATCCATAATCAATTCTTTTTCAATTGATAGATAATTCTCATTTAAACCTTAAAATCACGAAGTTCAGCGAAGGGATCTCTTTTCAACGAATCAAGCTGTACAGTCGTGTATATATACAAAAATTATTTTTTTTGTTAATGTACTAGTTCTGCGGGGAAAATTGAACACGAATAACCAAGATGACGCAATAGAAAGATTGTAATACTAGATTACGTATTAAGGCTATAGTTATTATTAGTATTACGTGATCTATTATGCATACGATTGTACAGTTTGATAATAAATTTATGGAAAAGAGATCCCTTGTATGAACTTCGTGTTTTTAATTCGTTTTCACTTTAATCTATACAAACAACCTACGTTTCATAATTGAATAAGAAATAGATAATTATTAAATTAGAATAACACTTATGAGAGAATAACATGAAAGTTATTAACACAATTAAAACAGTTCGTTAATTATTAATGATAATTAAACTGACTACTTAATTAATTATAGTATGTAGGAAGTACAAATTGATAGATGACAAGTTTAGTACTAAATCCAAATATAATTAAGAGCGTGACAAAATGGATATATATTTTGATAAAGGAATTGACCCAAAACATCGGAAAATAAACATACCAAAGATATTTAATAATAATAAAAAATGACAATTTGTGCTTTTCACATACAGTTTGGATAGGATGATGGTCGCGCAACTTCGTGGATTGGTTGAGGTTAGACATTAACACCATTGGATGCCTGCTCAGTGGTCCAAAAGGTTAGGCGTTCGCGCGCAAGACTGAAGGCCCTGGGTCGAATCCCGCAAGTAGGACTGTGGGTGCGCACCGCTGAGGAGTCCCAAGATGGGACGAAACGGCTGTCCAGTGCTTCCAGGTTTTCAATGGTGATCTAACATCAACCGGTTCATGATCCCGATCAAAAATTCTCATTATCTTGTTATAGTTGTCGTTTTTTATTCTTAGGATTTAAGCTACTTATAAGTAAGCTAGTATTCAAACTTCAATTTTCATAAAGTGGATCGATTTTTTGTGTTTAACTCAAGTAAATTATTTCTGTCCATAAGCAAGGATGGATAGTGGCTAGCAGTGGAATCCAGGACTCAGCAGCTAAGTGGATAATGCGATGGCGATTGAAGCGGACGTTACTGAGTTAGAGTCCTAGAGTGAACATCAATTCTGAGATGCAGGCACATCCAGCTGACAAGTCCCAAATAGGACGAAACGCGCGTCCAGGATTCCACTGCTAGCCACTATCCACCTTTGCTTATAATGCTTGTGAATTAAGGCAATATAGAGGCAATACGCACAGTATGCACATATGCCAATAAGAGACTGATCATATGCGGTCCTAAACACTAATTGGAATATTCAAGTAGACAATACCAACTGAATTTATTTCTGTCCATGTTACATATATTCTAGTGAACTTAACGGAAAGATATTCAACCACTGTTTGTCTAATGTTTTTACCTACAGCAAGATAACCGAACACAATCTGAGTTGTCAGTCGATTTTTTAGGAACCTATATAAAATGAGTTCGATTTTATTCGAATGACTCAGATTGGACAACATTGTATTCAGCTAAATTAATTCTTGGGATGCTAATTCATACTGACTAGTGGCTTTTTCTTCATAATGAAAAATTGTGTCGAACACAACTAGATGGTAGCTGAACCTTGTCAATTATTACATTTACAATACATGGAAATATGAAATAAATTTCCCCGAAAATGGCCATTATCAATTTTTTTTATTACTCATTCATGTAACTTAATCTAATAGAATTTAATAAAATGCTTTCCATTGTGAGAGGTTTCAATTAAGCAGTTAGTAACCGATCTTAAACAGGTGTTTCTTCGAGACATGAAGTGGAATTAGATAAATTAGGGTATAAACGAATGTGCAATGAATGCCAAGTAAATTATCCACTTTTACAGGAAATAAAATAAATCAAACGAAACTAGACTGCTAAAATCTAAAAGATGAGAAAATTTCTACACTTTATAACCAAACAACTATATCACTGTTAAATTATCTAGGGTAAGGAAAAAGGGTGGATTTATTTCTTTTAATGCCGTACTCAAATAATTAAGTCGTAACAGAATTGCTTCTGGTGTTTAAAGGATTTCTAACTTAACTGTTTTTGTCAAGTTACTCTTAACATGATATACTGTTTATTGTTTATCTGAACCAGCTTGAGTAAAATAGAACAGTCGTAAATGCATTAGACCTAATATGATATCCTAGTTACTTAGAACTTTTTGAGAATGATTTATTATCCATATAATAGTAAATAATCTATCTTGAAAGTAATCACAAAATGTATACCAATTTACAGATATGATCAGGTTGATACATGAATCGATGTTACGTATAAAAATATAAGAAGTATGAATTGAAATTGTTTGAAATGACAAAATTTCGAAACTGTTTTGGGAGCAAATTATTCACATGTGTTACAATAATGTGACGCATCAGTTGAGAATTATTAATTCTTGCACAAGAACGTGTACGTATGTATATCGGTTCAAGTTACCATACTTCATTAAATGAAGTTATCAAGCCAAATTCCAGAATAATAGATATACTAAAAGTATCAGTAGTGATGAAGAAGATTAGGTATCAAAGATACGATTCAAGAAAAAATAAGTTAGCGAAATCAAAACACAAAAATATTATGAAGAATATAAAATCTTTAAATTTGAAGGAAGATAAAAAGCGAATGCACTTGCACCATTCCGAATGATTTTGAGCCATGTCATTCAAAGTCTCTGATCATTGATTACATTAATCATGAAGACCCCAACCTGGTAGTCTGTACGTATTAACGTGGCTAAGTCCCATTTTAAGTGACTTCATGGACTGATGTCATGTTTTAGTTTGGCTACCTCCAGATACTTTTTAGCCTACTCCTTCACCAGAAAACATCACTTGTCGAGGTAGGCGGTGGTTGAATACACTTAACATATGTCCTGACAACCTCAGTTGATGACGATTCACTACCTCATCAACTGATTTGCTATCTCTACCTGGTACTTCATTCCTAACCCCTGGATCGCTTACTTTGTGGTCCCTCGATACACGAGCAGTGTTTCAAATACATGTGAGTGAACACCAATAAACTGATAATATCTTACTACTCTTAAAAATCATGTTTCAGATCCGTAAAGCAGAACGGAACGAACTGCTGTACAGTAATCTCGCCCTTTGTTTGCATGTAGGATATCTCGCCCACGCTATAAGTGACGCGAGTTTGCAAAAGCCGATCGAGCATTTCGAATACGTGCCAAGATTTAGTCAGACTCCAGACCATTAGTACTGATGAGACTCCCAAGATAAGTGAGGCAGTAGGTGAGTTTAACTACTTCACTCTCATCACTATTCCATGCGGTGACACAAGCTGATTCTTAAGTAACATTTTATATTAGCCGATAGAGAAACGCATCCCAAATACATCTGTGCTGTTGCTTAAAGTTGTCTGAAGACTCTGAATTTTCTTTCAGCGTATTCAACAAACACGACTATATGGTCTGCTCATTCTAATTGAACAAGTGAATCTCCTAGTAGATCAATTG